AGGAAGGAAGGAAGGAAGGAAGGAAGGAAGGAAGGGCCGTGGTGGCGCAGTGGTTAGAATGTGGTACTGCAGGCTGCTTCTGCTGACTGCCAGATGCCTGCAATTTGGCAGTTCGATCCTGACCGGCTCAAGGTTGACTCAGCCTTCCATCCTTCGGAGGTGGGTCAAATGAGGACCCAGATTGTTGGGGGGCAAGAAACTGTTTCTGTAAACCGCTTAGAGAGGGCTGGAAAAGCACTGTGAAATGGTACATAAGTCTAAGGGCTATGCTATTAGTCCTTGTTCCAGCTTTATAATGCCCCTTTTGATTCACAATCCATTAAGAAAAAAAAATACTTTAAAACAAATTATTTTCTATAGATTTTCCGTAGCTGACAGGTTCTCCTTTTGTCATTGCATGGTTACAAAAGAGCTTTGATTTCATGTAAGCCCTCAAAAATGCCCAACGATTTGAATTCTTTCCACGTTTCCTGATTACAGTACTTGAATACCAGGAAAAAAAAAAGATTTCAAAAGAATCAGCTTATATACCTGAAGTGGAAATTTAGGGAAAAGCATTCTTTTCTTTGCAAAAATGTGGTTGTTATTTTTTTTTGCAGGAATAATCCCATAATAGCAACAGACTTTTCCATATGCAGAGGCTATCCAGGAGCCATCGGTTAATTAAGCTATGTGATTAATCAACTAAGTTTTAATTGGGTTAAACGGGATAGAAAGGAGCTGTTGTGAAGAGAGAGGTTCAAAGAGAAAGAGAAAGGAAATACAGGCAGTCCTCGATTTACGACCGCAATTGGGCTCGAGATTTCTGTGGCTAAGCGAGACATTGTGAAGTGAGCTTTGCCCCATTTTACGACCTTCGTTAAGTGAATCGCTGCCTTTGTTAAATTAGGAACACGGTTGTTCAGTGAATCGTCAGAAGGTCTCAAAAAGGGGATCGCGTGAGTCCCTGGGACGCTGCAAATTATCACAAATACGAAGCAAGCATCTGAATTTTAATCACATGACTATGGTGATGTTGCAATGGTCGTAAGTGTGAAAAACAGTCATAAGTCCCCTTTTTTAGGGCCGTCGTAACTTTGAACGGTTACTAAGTGAACTGTTGTAAGACGAGGACTACTGGTAGTCGCCAGGATCCAACTCCTTGTCCTTGATATTCTGGTTTGTGAAGCCACAATTCGTAGTTTAAAGCAAGGGAAGGCCAATTTTTCTATTAAGGGCCATGTTATGTAGCTCAACTTACGTCCGTGATGGAGCCTGCAATTTTTGGCCATAACAATGGTCAACAAGCATGCTATCACCTAACCGTGACCGCTTTTAGGACCGTTTTGCATCTGTCATTAAGCGAGTACCATGTTGGTAAAGGGAATGCAGCTGTCATTAAATGAACCCATTGTTTGCTCTGGCATTGTGCTGGAAACCGGTGATTACTTTAGTTGTAATCACCGGTTTCCAGCACAAAACATTGCACGGATAAGCATCAAGTTATAACAGCTCATTTAGTGACTGTTCTGTGAGTTTTTTGCCACCTTTTACGACCTTTTTCGCCACCGTCGCTAAGGGTATCACGGCAGTTGTTAAATTAGTTAACCCGATTGTTAACGGCAATTCGTGCGTGTGTGCCGTCTGCTCATCCGTGTGGCATCAAAAACACAGCGATATAGGACGGGATTGTGCCCGGGTGAGTGGGCATTCTTGGGCCCTCTCGCATGTGGCTGCTAGCGGTTCGCCTGAACCGTTTCGAACCGGCTCAGCTGAATATACCACCTCTGGAGACGTCTATCCTCCTTCCTTCGTTGTAACTTCAATTGGTCACTAAACGAAGGTTGTAAGTCGAGGAATACCTGGAATGCTCAGGTGAACAACCAGCCACGGAGGCTGGTCATAATTACGGCATGAAAAGTCGAATTAAACCAACTCACGGCGAGTTACTCACGAGCATCATCATTATATACATTATACTTATGTTTGTAATTACACGAGGATGGAGAACGGAGTAATCATTGCCATGAATAATAAATACCCTTAATTATTCCAGCCCAGAAATGACAAGAGAGTTGCGTTCATCTTGCGGTGGCACAAACATTGGACTTGTTAGCACCTTTTCCGACTCACAAATTTCGCAGACGCCTTTGAATAAAAGTTTACGAGTTGGAAGAGCTGCTAACAGGTGCTTTCTCCTCGTTTGCAAGTCATACAATAGTATAATAGTCCATATTTTGTTGTTTTTATTGTGCATCCAGCCACTCGCAACAGCCTCAGCCTTTGGATACAATTTGTGATAATTTCTTTTTCTATTTTTCACACACACACACACGTATATATCTCTATCTCTACAGCTATCTCGACATCTATGTATGTCTCCATACATGTGTGTCTCTATATATTTCTCTCTATATAATTTGTATATTTCTATATCTATCATCTATCTACCCATCCATATAATCTATAATCTATTTACTATCCATCCATCCATCCATCCATCCATCATCTATTTATATATCATCTACTATCCATCCATCATCCATCCATCATCTATCCATCCATCCGTCCGTCTTATCATCTATCCATCCATCCATCCATCTTATCATGTCTATCTATCTATCTATCTCTCCATCCATCCGTCTTATCATCTATAATCTACTATATATCCATCCATCCATCCATCCATCCATCCATCCATCCATCATGTCTAGCTATCCATCCATCCATCCGTCTTATCATCTATCATCTATCATCCATCCATCCATCCATCCATCATCTATCCATCCATCCATCCATCCATCCGTCTTATCTATCATCTATCCATCCATCCATCTATCCATCCATCCATCCATCCGATCATCTATCTATCATCTATCCATCCATCCATCCATCCATCCATCCATCCCTCTAGCTATCCATCTATCCATCCATCCATCCATCCATCCGTTTTATCATCTATCATCCATCTATCCATCCATCCATCCATCCATCCATCCATCCATCCATCATCTATCTATCCATCCATCTTATCATCTATCATCTACTATCCATCCATCCATCTATATCCATCTACTTATATATATGTAGTCCTCAACTTAAGTTTGTTTAGTGACCGTTTGAAGTTACAACGGCACTAAAAAGTGACTTATGACCATTTTTCAGAGTTACGACCATTGCAGCATCCCCACGGTCACATGATCAAACTTAAGACACTTGGCAACTGACTCCTATTTATGACGGTGGCAGTGTCCCAGGGTCATGTGATCCCTTTTTGCGACTTTCTGACAGGCAAAGTCCATGGGTAAACCAGATTCACTTAACAACCATGTTACTAACTGTAGTGATTCATTTAACAACGGTGGCAAGAAATGTTGTAAAATGGGGCAAAACCCACTAAATGTCTTGCTTTGCAACAAGAGATTTTTGGCCTATATTGATTATATTAGGATAGCATAGAATATTATTAATAATATAATATATAATAAATATAATTATTAGATGTTGGGTCAATTTGATTATCAGAAGTCCCCTCATCTGGAATATTGGTTTATTTTACATGGTAGTAATATGGTATCCTTGTTAAATAAGGATGGGGAAACTTATAACTATTTGTAGACCCGTTATGCAAGGGAAGGAAAGTTTATCAAGGTTTTTCTATATTTTTATCAGCATCCAGCTGGGATGGACTCTTTATGTTTAATGTTAGATTTATTTAATATTTGAGACTCCCCCCCTTTTTTTGTACACAATTTTTTTTCTTTTCTTTTGTTGTTATGCAGATTTTTCTGTATTGCATTTTATTCTCGCTGATAAAAACAAACGCATACAATATCTATAAAAACTAAAGGATGCAATTTTTTGAGTCGGATTCGCGAAGAACCTCCTGGTTTTTGAGATTATTCCCACGACGCCTTTCCCAAACTTTGGCATGCTTGAACCTCGGTTCATCTCCAGCTCAGGTGATTCCCCTTTCGGGGCATCTGTAACCTCCTCCTGACTCAGTTTCCTCAGTGGGCGTCCCGTGATGCTGGGCAAAGTGCCAAAGCTGCGTGGGCTGAGGCTGCCAGGCGTTAATCCGTCGGACTTCCGGGGGTTGCGGCTGACATGAAACGCTCTTAGGGAAATGCTCCACGTGTCGGGATTCCTGTGCCAAGGTGTGTCTCATTATCACGCCGTGAAAAATTGTCCTCTGGCGACGAAGCAAGGAGTGAGTGGCCTGGATGCTATGTTGTTTTGATTCCCTTTCCGGCTGAGGGAGCCTCCCTCCTGAATGTCTCATCCTGCGACTCACCTGGCAAATGGCTCCCAGGTGATCCAAAGGTGCTTTTTCCAAAAGACAATTGGGATTTCTCGGGTTTTTGTCTTTGAAAATGTTTCGCTCCTCGGCCAAGAAGCTTCTTCGGTTCTGATCAGAAGCTCCTTGGACGAGGAGCGAAACGTTTTCAAAGAAAAAAAAAATGAGAAAGTCCAGTTGCCTTTTAGGAAAAGTTTTGATCTGAACCGAAGAAGCTTCTTGGACAAGGAGTGAAACGTTTTCAAAAAAAAAAAAAGAGAAAGTCCAGTTGCCTTTTGGGAAAGGTTTTGATCTGAACCGAAGAAGCTTCTTGGACGAGGAGTGAAACGTTTTCAAAAAAAAAAAAAGAGAAAGTCCAGTTGCCTTTTGGGAAAGGTTTTGATCTGAACCGAAGAAGCTTCTTGGACGAGGAGTGAAATGTTTTCAAAGAAAAAAAAAAAGAGAAAGTCCAGTTGCCTTTTGGGAAAAGTTTTGATCAGAACCGAAGAAGCTTCTTGGATGAGAAGTGAAATGTTTAATTTTGTTTTCCATTGCTTTCTTCATAATTTCTACCCTGGCATGAGACAGTGGCACGGTGCCGAAAATGCTGGATTAAGTCTAAGGAGATCCGGATTCAAATCTATCTTCAGACATGGGATGACTTTGTGAAGCCCCTCTCTCTGCCTAGCCTGCCCCACAACTCCCGTGAGAAAAGTGAGACACACATCACAAAGCGCAAATTAGATAGGCCCAGATTCTGTTAATTTATTTTATACACAAACCGCACAAAATGTTAGAATGTGGGTTTTTCTTAATAAAGGGTTCCAGCTATGCAAGAAACGGACTTGTTGTCCAGCTGCGATACGGCTCTCGCCGGTGTATCTACGACCTCTGGTGTTTTAGGCGGTTGCCAACATACACAACTTAGTATTTAAGGCAGGAGTGTCCAGCTTTGTCAACTTTTAAAGCTGGGGGACTTCAACTCCCACAATTCCCCAGCTGGCCTATCTGCCTGGGGGAATTCTGGGAGTTGAAGTTCATCCTGCACGGGTGGCTAAGGAATTCTGGGAATTGAAGTCCAAACTGCATAGCTGTCTAGGGAATTCTGGGAGTTGAAAGTCCACCCGTCTTAAAAGTTGACAACGTTGGACACCCCTGACTTTGAGGCAAGCTCTCCCCGATTTTTCCCACCTGTCTCCAGAGGAAAGGCGATTTTTGACATTTCGAATGACAGAATGGGGAATTAATTCATTAATTCATTAATTTTTTTGATGTGAATGTCGTCAGAGGGAATTCTGGGAGGCCTTTCTCTTCTCCATCTAAAAATAAGAAGTCAACCAGTGTCCCACTTCCATCCTAGTTGCTCCAAACAGGCCAAGTTTGGATTCAATTTGAACCCTGGGGAGTCAACGGATTTTCACGCGGAGCACGTAACGGGGGTGGTGGTGGTGTCGGGCCCTGGTGGAGTGCCAGGGGCCGATATTTGTGCTGGTGCCGAGAATGTCAAATCAGGTCCTCCCCCCTCAACAAATTCCTCCTTTGCAGAGGAGCAGGAGCAAGGAAGACCCAAATGCAACTCGGAGGATGAACCCAAGACGTCGCGTGGGGAAGGGATCTTCTCCACCTTGTTGCCGAACGGATCGAGCTCAGTTTTAAACTGGGAATTTCTCTGGGTTCAGCTGCAGGAGGGAACTGGGAACCAGCACAAGGGTTGTAGAAATGCTCAGGGGTCCCTGCCCACCTCCGAAGGGGGCAGGAAGATTTTTTTTTTTGGGAAGGCATCTTCTTCGGTGGGAGAGGGGCGACTGCCCGACGCTTCTGTCCGAGGATGGGGGAGAAGGTGAGACTGGACATGGGGAGGTGGTGTGTAATCGCTTCTCCCTGGGTCTCTTCTCCTATGCGACGTCCCTCCGGCTAACCATACGGGTAGTGTTCCGCGGAGCCGACTTTGCACCGCCCTGACGCTGTCTTCAGGAGGAGCAGGCGGCTTCCCATTGGCGGAAAATCTGGAAGACTTTGCGGGATTTGGTCGAGAGACTCTGCAGCGGGGAGGAGATGGAGAGGGACGACTGAGAAAGTGGAGCGACATGGATGGCAAAGAAAGGCTAAGAGAGAAGCGGTTTGGTCTAGCAGCGGGCTAGAGAAACTGGGAGGCGGGGAGTTCTGGTTCCGCCCTAGACATGAAAACTGGCTGGGTGACTTTGGGCCAATGACCAGGAGATTGTGAATTCTAGTCCCGCCTTAGGCATGAAAGCCAGCTGGGTGACTTTGAAAAGAAAAGCTAAGAGAGAACTGGTTTGGTCTAGTGGTGAAGGCAGCAGGCTAGAAACTGGGAGGCTATGAGTTCTAGTTCTGTCTTAGGCATGAAAGACGACTGGGTGACTTTGGGCCAATCACCAGAAGATGGGGAGTTCTAGTTCCACCTTAGGCATGAAAACTGGCTGGGTGACTTTGGGCCAATGACCAGGAGACGGGGAGTTCTAGTTCCACCTTAGGAATGAAACCTGGCTGGATGCTTTTCAGCCAAAACCACCAGGAGATGGTGAGTTCTAGTCCTACTTTAGGCATGAAAGCCAGCTGGGTGACTTTGGGCCAATCACTAGAAGATGGCGAGTTGTAGTCCCATCTTAGACATAAAAGATGAGTGAGTGACTATGGGCCAATCACCAGGAGGTGATGAGTTCTAGTCTCACCTTAGGGATGAAATCTGGCTGGGTGACTTTGGGCCAATGACTAGGAGATGGTGAGTTCTAGTCCCACCTTAGGGATGAAATCTGGCTGGGTGACTTTGGGCCAATGACTAGGAGATGGTGAGTTCTAGTCCCACCTTAGGCAAGAGCTGGGTGAGGAATTCTGGGAATTGACGTCCACATGTCTTCAAGAGACCAAGACATATTGAGAAATGTCATCCAAATCCTTCTGATTCAACTTTGTGACCTTTTGCATCTGCAAAAGGCAGCATCTAACCAATTCTTGATGTACCTCCCAGAGTTGGATCAGAAGGAGTAGGACAAACTTTGTCTTCTGGTCCGGTGTTTTTCAACCTTGACCTCTTGAAGATGTGTGGACTTGTCTGAACGTAGAAGTTAAACTGGACTAGGGTTGGGGCTAGTTGGAACTGCGAAGAGGGTTTGCAATTTTACAATATGGATCTGTAGGAGTGGCAGAAACAGGGGGGTGGAGTTAGACTGGGGGAATTCTGGGAGTTGAAGTCCATAAGTCTCAAAGTTGCCAAGTCTGGTGTAGGCCAGACTGCTGCTGTAGGCCAAGTAGAGGACCACTGGTGGTCCGACTCACCTCCGACTCCAGATGGGCTGGCTTTTCCGACTGCTTGGAAGCCTGGAGAACTTTCAGGACCACCTGCCAGCCACGGTCTGCCTTCTCCTCCGAGGATTCCCCTTTGGTCCCAAGCCCAGTTGCTTCCTTCACTTCGTTGATCCATGGACACCAGTCACGGTGCTGGGCCAGGGGTCGAAGAAAACCCGGGTCGATGAATCCTGTTCAGGGAGAAAACCAACCAGATTAAGTCGGGTAAGGAATGAACTCAACTTCACCTAAGCCAGAGGTCTCCAATAGTAGCCACTTTTAAGACTTGTGGGCTTCAACTCCCAGAATTCCTCATCCAGCCGTGCTGCGTTGAAGGCCACAAGACTTAAAAAGTGGCCAAGTTTGGAGACCCCTGACCTAAGCTAAGTAGATTCAGATGTTCATATATTCCATTCAAGGCTCCAGAAATGATCTTTAATGGGACCACTAGTTCTTGGATGGACCTGACCAAGCTTTCGATCTAAGACGTAGTGAAGAAAAATGGAACAGGAGATGAACGAGAAGGTATCTACCTAGCTTTCCTCAAACTGACATCCTTGTCTTGGGACTTCAACTTCTAATTGGCTGAGAATCCTGGGGGTTGAAGTCCAAAGCCTACTGTAGGCATCTGATGGGAACAACCTGATGGAGCTACTGACCAGTTAGGACCATATGGGTGAGATGTTGATTGCTACTGAAGACCGTATCATCCTATCTCTCCTCCATCTTCTCTTCTGCGGACTAAGGTCCTCTTTTCACCTTGCTTGATAGAACCTGGAACCATCTTGGTGGATCTTCTCTGGATGTGCTCCAGTTTGTTCACACCCTGTTTAGATTAAGGTGTCCAGAGACTGGACATGGAACTCCAAGTGAGATCTGACCAGGTGAAACAGAACGGGACTGCCGATTTCGGTGATCTCTGGTGCTTTACGTTCTTCATAATCCCTAAATCTTATTTGTCTTTTGGCTGAATCACCTCACTGGCTCACCTAGATCTCCAGGGTGACCTAGTCCATCAAGAATCCGGTAGCACCCGTTTCGATGAACGAGTGACTCATTCCCCAGTTATCCTCTTCTACGTCCATTTCCTCCACCCATTCTATTTTTTTTTTCCCTTTTCCCTTTTTTCCCATGTTTTAGAAAGCTCTCCAGATTATCTCCCTGTATCACTTTAGGAATTTCCCATTTTGCTGTCCAGTAGGAATTTTTTTGCGATTTTTTAAAAAAACCTGTCTTAATTACAGGTAGTCCTGGACTTATGACCGTCCGTTTTGTGAATGTCCAAAGTTACAATTATCCATGCTGGCTGGGGAATCCTGGGAGTTGAAGTCCACAAGTCTTAAAGTGGCCAGGTTTGGAGAAGCCTGTATTAGATCTTTAGCCTTTGGAGGTAGGTCAGGCCAGGAAACATACTTTACGAGGAGCTTAGGCTTTTGGGGCATAAAAAGAGGAACTTGAGCCGCTAACGTTTCCTGCCGTCCCCTCTTATACCAAAGAGAATCAAGGTGAGGCTATCTTGAGTTTCTTCCTCCTCCTTTAGAAGAGCTGAGGCTTCGATTCCAACCTTTATGAACAGCTTTACTACAGGTAATCCTCAATTTACAACCCTTCATTTAGTGACAGTTCAAAGTTACAACGGCACTGAAAAAAGGGACTTGCCATGGTCATGGTCTCATCAGCTCGAGACCCGCCTTAGGCATGAAAGCTGAGTGTTCCTGGCTCTATCACCAGGTGAGTTCTAGTCATACCTTAGCTATGAAATCCAGCTGAGTGTTCTTGGGCCAATCACCGGGAGAAGGGGAGTTCTAGTCCCGCCTTAACTATGAAAACCAGTTGAGTGACCTTGGGCCAATCACCGGGAGAAGGGGAGTTCTAGTCCCGCCTTAACTATGAAATCCAGTTGAGTGAGCTTGGGCCAATCACCGGGAGAAGGGAGTTCTAGTCCCGCCTTAACTATGAAATCCAGTTGAGTGAGCTTGGGCCAATCACCGGGAGAAGGGGAGTTCTAGTCCCGCCTTAACTATGAAATCCAGTTGAGTGAGCTTGGGCCAATCACCGGGAGAAGGGGAGTTCTAGTCCCGCCTTAACTATGAAAATCAGTTGAGTTACCTTGGGCCAATCACTGGGAGAAGGGGAGTTCTAGTCCCGCCTTAACTATGAAATCCAGCTGAGTGAGTTTGGGCCAATCACTGGGAGAAGGGGAGTTCTAGTCCCACCTTAACTATGAAATCCAGTTGAGTGAGCTTGGGCCAATCACCGGGAGAAGGGGAGTTCTAGTCCCGCCTTAACTATGAAATCCAGCTGAGTGAGTTTGGGCCAATCACTGGGAGAAGGGGAGTTCTAGTCCCACCTTAACTATGAAATCCAGTTGAGTGAGCTTGGGCCAATCACCGGGAGAAGGGGAGTTCTAGTCCCACCTTAACTATGAAATCCAGCTGAGTGACTTTGGACTCGTCCCTCCCACTCTATCACCCCAACCCACCCCAGCAGGATTGTTGTTGTGGGGAAAAGAGGAAGAAGAAAGCGGATTCGATATATGTGCCACCTCGAGTTGTTTATAAAAGTAACGAAAGTGGGATACAAATAAATAAGTGAAAGAATTAGGCACACTCACCGAACTGCTGGAGGAGTACAGGCGTGGCCGCTTGGCTCTCCGGTGGGGGCTGGACGGCACTTCGGCCCCCAGGCCGCAGACTTCCCCGTGGCCCATGCTGCGAGTCACAGGCCGGCTCCGGGTGGTGGGGCTGGCTGCTTCGGCCTCGGGGCGCTCACTGAAGCTGTCCCCGCCCCGCGTGCGGCTGATCACTGGGGACGGACTCTTCTCACGCTGCAGGAAAAGGAAGATGACAGTGTCAACCCTGAAACTGGCCCGACCGAGGCCCTTTTGAGGCTTCAGCGTTACCAATTGGAGCTGGGGGATAAGGGAGCGGGAAATTCAGATAGATGGGGTTTTGTAGCCAAAACAAAATACTTTCTCCTGGGAACCAAGGTCATTCCCACAGGGGGTCGGAGAGAGGAGGAGTGAAGTTACCTGGTGTTGTGACCTAGGCTTCCTGAATCATTAAAACACAGGAGTAGTCCCAAAAACCTCTTATTGCAACAGCTGTGAATTACGTTCATTCACAGCTGAGTCCCAATTAGTTGCAAAAAAGTCCTTCGGCATAATCACCAACCTTTATCTCCCTTGACATGCTGCCAAAACACCTACTTGGCAAAGCCCCACGGAGTCCAGAATCAAACAGAGATGCCGACTGGGAACAGAATTAACAACGTTGCTTTCCTGCAAAGAGCCCATGTGCCTTTGCTCTACTTAGAAACCTTTGGGATAACCCTGACCTGAAAGACTGAGGATCTCCATAGACTTCAAGAATCGAGGCTCCGCACCTCAGGATCTTTCCTCAAAAATTGACCCTTCCTCCAGCTTCAAACGTTACCTGCTCCGAGCCCAGAGGGACACTGTTATCCTGACTCCGGGTGATCATGCGTCGTGGGGAGGTGGGCCCCAGGGAGGGTTTCTCGGCCGCAAGGGCAACGTTGGAGGGGTTCTCCAGCTCGGTCTCCGTCGACTCCATTTGGTGAAAACTCCACAGCCCCACTTTCCTTATGCAACGGCAGCAGCTGATCAAGGGGAGATGGACGGATCCAGAGGGAGGTCTAGGAAAAAGATAAAACCCCGCCCCACCCAAATTAACTGAGGGTCCAAAGCCAATCCGCTTCACGCAAAGCACAATTTAAATACCACCTACGTCACAGTAAGAACTCGACTTACAACCACAGCTTAGCCCAGTGATGGTGAACCTTTTCGGCACTGAGCACCGAAAAGGTCACATGGAAATGTCGTGCGCGCACTCGTTGGGGGCCACACGCCGGAAAAGCCGAACTTCCGGGTTCTACTGTGCATGCATGCCCGATGATCAGCTGGCCAGCGGCATGCACAGGCCGGTTTTCGGCATTGCCGGGTGCGCAAAGGGATCGTGCTCCGGAAAAGCCGAACTTCCGGTTTCTACTGTGCATGCATGCCTGATGATCAGCTGGCCGGCGGCATGCACAGGCCGGTTTTCGGCATTGCCGCGTGCGCGAAGGGATCGTGCTCCGGAAAAGCCGAACTTCCAGGTCCTATTGTGCATGTGTGCCCGATGATCAGCTGGCTGGCGGCATGCACAGACTGGTTTTCGGCATTGCTGCCTGCATGAAGGGATCATGCTCCGGAAAAGCCGAACTTCCGGTTTCTACTGTGCATGCGCGCCTGACAATCAGCTGGCTGGAGGCATGTACAGGCCGGTTTTCGGCATTGTCGCATGCGCGAAGGGATCATGCTCCGGAAAAGCCGAACTTCCAGGTTCTACTGTGCATGCGCGCCTGACGATCAGCTGGCTGGCGGCATGCACAGGCCGGTTTTCGGCACTGCTGTATGCATGAAGGGATCGCGTTCTGGAAAAGCCAAACTTCCTGGTTCTGGCATGCATGTGCACCCAACAGTCAGCTGGCTGGTGTGCATGCACACAGCAGTTTTCAGTGCTGCCGCACGGGCGAACAACAACTGATCGTCGAGCGGGCATGCGTGCCAGAAACACAAACAGGCAAGGCCGTGCGTGCTGGGCAACATGGCTTCACGTGCCACTTTGGGCACGCGTGCCATAGGTTCGCCATCACGGGCTTAGCCCAACATGTTCGGTTGCTATGCAAGACAGCTGTTCGGGGAGTGCTGGCCCATTTGACAACCTTCCTTGCTGCCGTCGTTAAGCGAAGCACTTGCACTTGCATAGTAACCCAGTTGTTAAGCGAATCTAGTTTCCCCATCGACTCGGCTCATCAGAAGGTCTGCAAAAGGGGATGGCTTTGACTCTGGGACACTGTAACTGTCTTAAGTACATGCCAGTTGCCAAGCTTTTGAATTTCGATCACGTGACCAATGGTCGCAAGTGTGAAAAAAGGGATCCCAAGTCCCTTTTTTCAGTGCCGTTGTAACTTCAAACGGTCACTAAACGAACTGTTTGTAAGTCGAGAACTAACTGTATTGTGTACATTTTTCAAACACTGGTATACTTTGTTACACCACGACTGAGCCCGGAATTGTAGAGTTGTTAAGTTGTGATGATCCTTAAGTGGGTTCATCATGTGACATCCCCCCCCAATTTTACCACCTGTTTCGTGGTGGTCGTTAAGCGAAGACGGTGGCCCTAACGCAAATCTGCCAGGCGTTAAAGAGAATCGTGGTGTGAATGTATGTTGTCTCCATTCTTATTTTATTATTTTTATTTTTTTTCTCTTATATTGTGCTTTCATCTCCTTGAGTTGCCGTGGGCGAGCAGGCGGCAATGTAAAATTTCTAAATAATAAATAAATGATAAAATCAATCCGTTTTCCGCAGGTGGAGTGGTGCAGTGTGGCCTAGAGGTGGAGCTCCCGCCTCACAACCAGGCGGCTGCGAGTTCGATCCTAGGTAGAGGCAGATATTTCTCTCTCTGGGCACCGTGAGAATAGATCTGCCGAACAAAACTCGGCACTGGTGACAGGAAAGGCAACCGGCCAGTAAAACACTCGGCTCCATTCGGGTTGCCCAGACTCCACCCCAATGCAAGGGATTATGGGATCATTAAAAGATGATGACGAATCCAGTTTCCGTCGGAGGGTTGTTGTTTTTTTTGCCAGAGGTTAAAAATAAAGGATATTTTGGGGCACACACACACACAAAAAAATTGGAATTTTCTTTTTCCCGATTCTAATTTTCCACTTACCTGCCGGACCAGCCGCAAAGGGCCAGGATGGAAGCTGTGATGTGGACTTGAAGGAGGTCGGAAGGCTGCTTGGCCGACGTCTTCTCGCCTTCGGTTTTGCAGCTCTCCTGCTCCTCTTCCTCTTCCTCCTCCTCGATCAACTGTAAGAGGAAGCTGACCTTCTCTTCCGTCAGGGACTGAGAAGCAAACAGACTAAATCAATCTCTCAACCTCCCCCCCAAAATGGCCTCTTCTTGGTAGGCGAACACGTTTTCCAGAACTTTCCAGAAGTTTCAAGGCTAACAGAGATGCCCAACCTGCTGTTGTTGTTGTTTTTGTCTTTTAGTGATCCCGTAATCCCTTGCACCGGGGTGGAGTCTGGGCAATTGAATGGAGCTGAGTATTTACTGGCCGGATGCCCTTCCTGTCACCAATGAGGAGTTTTGTTCAGTAGATATATTCTCATGGTGCCCAGAGAGAGAAATATCTGCCTCTACCTAGGATCGAACTCGCAGCCTCCTGATTGTGAGGCAAGAGCTCCACCTCTAGGCCACACTGCACCACTCATGCCCAACCTGCTGTTCCGGGAATGAAACATTCTGGAGAAATCCAGAATGTTCTGTCACCACTTTGATGTTCCAAAGAGGGTTTGGAAATACAGATAGTCCTCAACTTACAACAGTTCGGTTAGTGACTTTTTAAAAGTCAAAAATGTAACTTCTGACCGTTTTACATAGTTATGACTTTGGAAGCCTCCTCAGGATGGTGGGGTCAAAATTCAGATGCTAGACAACTGGTTCATAGTTACGACGGTGGGATTGTTCCCGGGGGCTACACGATCCCCTTCTGCGACCTTCTGACAGCCGAGTCAAGGGGGGAAAGCCGGATTCACTTAACAACCAGGCTACTGATATCAACTGCAGCGATTCACTTAACAACGGTGGCATGAAAAGTCGTAAAAATGAGGCAAAACTCGCTTAACAAACGCCTCACTGAACGACAGAAACGTTGGGCTCCGTTGTGGTCGTAAGTCGAGGACTGCCTGTATTTTATTTCTTCCTTAAATTTATAGAGCTGCCTATCTCACAGATGTAACTCCGAGTTGATCACGGAAGTATCCAAAAAAAAAAACCAATAAAACTATTAAAAAACCCTCCAAAACTCAGTAGAGCAAAAATCCCAGGGCAGCATCTTCCATAAATCTTTAAACCCAACATCAGCTCACTTAACGCATAATATAGTCCTCACGTTACAACCGTCATAACTCATGAGGATCGTAAAATATTCAGTCGCGTCCACCGGCCCAATCTGGTCATGAAGCAAAGGCCACGGTCACAAAATGAATCCGTTTCCCCCAAAGGGCATTTTCTTTTAAGTGGAAACCAGAACTAAATACCATTTTTTTGGGAGGATGTGTGTGCAAAACTGTCCTAAAATGTGATCAGGTGACGACCGGATGCGGCAAAAGGTAAATTTGGCCCAGATGCTAAATGCTCAAAGAATGGTCACATGATCGCAAGGGGAGGGGGCAATGGACAGGGACTGTTGAAACATGGAATCTGGGTGGAAAATCACCCCCAGGGAGGTCTGTCGGGACTTTGAACGGTCACTAAGTGAACGGTCGTAAACCAAGGACTACCTGTATGCTCACTCTTGTGGCTGTGGTTAGTTTATTGTCCCCAGATAGATCAGGCCCTTGAATGGGATGCTGGAAACTCCCTTCCCGTCACCTTTCTGGACAGGATGATTGATTAAGGGACAGGGATACATATATAAACATGTATATATTATGTACAGGCGTAGGCAAAGATAAGATAAAATAGGTAAGATAGATAACCTTTATTGTCATTTTTTTACTGGGAGCACCCTGGCACACATTAAAAATTTTATTACCTGCTCTCAAAAGGAGGATATATGTGTGTTTGTGTGTGCACGTGTGTATACACACACATATGCACCTTTTTATTTTATTTTTATTTATTTTTATTTATCAAATTTCTATACCGCCCTACTCCCAGGGGACTCAGGGCGGTGAACAGCCAAGATAAAATACAGATAATACAAACATTAAAAGTCAAAGAGGGTGAAAATCTGGGTGCGTTTTATACTCCGAATGTAGCCCTGCCCAGCTTCTCAAACGGAGGTTTCAGAGGCTGAAAAAAGCATCAGAAACAAAGCTTCAGAAAAAAAAAGCCCCCAAACAGCTTCAGAAAAAAAGCCTCCAAACAGAGCTTCAGAGGCTTTTTTTCTGAAGCTGTTTCGGAGCTTTCAGAGGCAGGAAAAAAAGTTTTCCAGTTTCAGAGGCAGAAAAAAAAGCAAAAAGAAAGCAAGGCACAGAGTTCACAACCAACAAAACCTGTTGCTAAAATTCATCTCTGGGGACACCTGATTGGGGGTATTCCGGGAGGCCGATCCACCTGCCAATCAGCTTTGTTCTTATTTTCCTCCCCAAAAACTAAGGTGTGTCTTATACTCTGAAAAATACAGTATGTATATATACATATGTGTGTATATGTATGTATGTATGTATGTATATGTATATACACTCACACACACACATATACATACATACATACACATACATACACACATACATATGTAAAAATATGTATATACATGTGTGTGTGTATATGGGTATGCATATTAAAACACTCTGCTAGCTCCATTCAGTTGCCCAGATTGGCTGCCTGTTGGGAGACTAGAATGGCAGCAAAAGGTTAAAGAGAAAGACACATAAAGCTACGAAAAAGAAAGAAAAACAAATATTTGTGTATGTGTATACATATGTATATACACACACACACACATATATATGTATAAAGGGACACGGTGGCTCCGTGGCTAAGACACTAAGCTTGTTGATCGAAAGGTCAGCAGTTCAGCGGTTCGAATCCCGAGCACCGCATAACGGGGTGAGCTCCCGTGATTTGTCCCAGCTTCTGCCAACTTAGCAGTTCGAAAGCAGGTAAAAAATGCAAGTAGAAAAATAGGGACCACCTTTGGTGGGAAGGGAACAGCGTTCCGTGCGCCTTTGGCGTTGAGTCATGCCGGCCACATGACCACGGAGACGTCTTCGGACAGCGCTGGCTCTTCGGCTTTGAAACGGAGATGAGCACCGCCCCCTAGAGTCAGGAACGACTAGCACGTATGTGCAAGGGGAAACTTTACCTCATACATATGTACATATACATACATGCATATGCACACATACATGTGTGTGTAGCATGTGGATACATGTGTGTTATGTATGTGTATAGGTAGATATATATATCCTTCTTTTGAGAGCAGGCTAATAGAATTTCATTTTCAATGTGTGCCAGTCTGCTCAAAGTAAAAAATGACAATAAAAGTTACCTTATCTTTTTACCTTATCTCATCCCCAGGAGCTTACCACATTTTTGAGGCTGTCTGGCTTCAGGGAGGGCAGCTGGAGCTGCAGCTGGCACAGATTTTGGAAGCGTTCCAGGAAGTCGCTGAAAAGAGCCCGGGGTTCCTCCACCAGCAGCACCGAAAACCGATCTGGTCCGAAAGAAGCAAACGAGAGGTTTTCCTCGACTTACGACCACAATGGAGCCCGACATTTTCTGTGGCTAAGTGAGAATGCCCCCCAGAAAATGGTGGTGGGTCAGTCAGCCTACACACCTGGAAGACCTCGTGTCCAGGTGTGACCCAACCTTGCGGTTCCTTTCTCCTTTCTTACCTGGGCAAGGACTGTCTGGCCAGAAGCAGAACTTTTCGTGAGCTCCCAGCAAGGCCTTCTGCAGCTCCAGACACCTCTCCTTATCTAGGATGCAAAGATGCCTGATGAACAGCAGAATCACAATCCGACCGGCACAAGACGGAACATTTTTAAAGATGTCTCTAAGCCAAGTCACAGTAACATCTCGTCCGGCAATTAATCAAGCAAATATTTGTAGTTCACGGACCTTGGGGCTCTCTAGGCTTGGTGGTTTTTTTAAAAAGATGTTTAATCAATGCTAGAAGGGTGTGGGGTTTGAGGAGGAGGAGGAGGAGGGTTGTAGGGTCCTGTTGTGGCTCCGTTACCTGAGCCTGTGTCATCGGCAGGAGAGGACTCCGAGAGTGAAGGGGAGGAGTTGGCAAGGCCTCCCTCTCCAGGACCCTCCTCTCTGGCAATGCCTTTGGTGTCCGCCGAAGGGCAAGAGATAGGGCCGGGGCCAAGCACGTCCACGCAGCCACAGGTGGACAGTGATGAGGGTAATGAGTCTTGGCTGGATCCACGCCAGCGTCACAGAGATAAGCACGCGCAACAGAAGAGAAGGCGTGCCCGAGATTAGGCTGAGTCACTGGACCACACCCCACAGGGTATAAAAGGGAGCGTGGTGGCCAGTCAAACTTTGTGACGAACAAAGCTGAAAGCTTCCAAGCCATTCTGCATTGCTGGACTTTTGTTATAGACTTTGCTGGATTATCTCTGGACTTGACTGACTCTGTAATTATTGAGCTGTTTCCTTTGATGTACCAGAAGCGGGGAGAAGTTATCTCTCCTCTTCGTAAGTAATAAACTCTTGGCAGGCAGCCACTAGGTTGTTGCCAAGTTCCGTTATCATAAGGAAAAGGATTTTGCCGGCTGGTTTGGTCTTTAACTCTTGAACGTCTGTTGGTGTGTGTGCGTGTGGGACGGGGACAGAACAGGTCCTTAATGCTCTGAGCTTGGTGCTTTTCTTGGAGATGTTTCATTACCAAGCTAGATAACATCATCAGTGCTAGAAGGAGTGGGGGGGGGAGGAGGATGATTGAAGGGTCCTTAATGCTCTGAGTTTGGGGCTTTTCTTCGAGACGTTCCGTGACCCATCACAGACACAGAGGAGGATCGGCTGCTGACCAGCAGTGGTGCTGATAGTCAGCAGATCCTCCTCTGTGTTGGTGCAAGCAGGCAGCTCTCCCCCAATGCCCGAGGGTCCTGGGACAGCATCGTCCTCAGCCCCCTGGTGTACCTTCCCTGTCGGACAGTCCCAGTTCCAACTCCCAACTTCTAGGTAAGAAAAACCAAAAGGACACATATAAACTGGGGGAAACCAGGCTTAATAGCAGTGACTGTAAGAGGGATCTTGGAGTCAGCTAAATATGAGCCAGCTGTGTGCAGCAGCAGCTAAAAAAGCCAACGCAATCCTAAACTGCATTAACAGAGGGATACAATCAAGATCAAGTGAGGTGCTAATACCACTCTACAAAGCCTTAGTAAGACCACACCTAGAGTACTGCATGCAGTTTTGGTCCCCATACTATTAAAAAAAGATGTTGAGACTTTAGAAAAAGTGCAGAGAAGAGCAACCAAGAGGATGAGGGGACTGGAGGCTAAAACATACGATGAACGGTTGCAGAACTGGGCCTGGCTAGTCTAGTGAAGAGAAGGACCAGGGGAGACAGGAGAGCATCTTCCAATATTTGAGGCTGCCACAGAGAGGAGGAAGGGGGTCAAGCTATTTTCCAAATCACCTGAAGGCCAGACAAGGAATAATGGATGGAAACTGAATAAGGAGATATTCAACCTGGAAATAAGGAGGAATTTTCTGACAGTGAGAACAATCCATCCATGGAACAGAAGTTGCCTTCGGAAGTTGTGGGAGTTTCATCACTGGAGACTTTCAAGAAAAGATTGGACTGCCATTTGTCAGAAATGGTGTAGGTCTCCTGCTTGAGCGGGGGGTTGGACTAGATGACCTCTAAGGTCCGTTCCAATAATCTGTTATCCTCCTCCGAACCAGGCTCTGAGGGGGCCATGACAACAGCCAAAGGGCCGGATGTGGTCTGGGTGGGGTGTGTGTGTGTCCCTAAAACATTCAGTCTCTTTTAATCTCTAAAACAAAACGCCCCATCTGTGAAGTCACAATCACAAGGTGGTGCAAAACGCCCCATCCAGAGTTACCGCGTGCCAAGATGGGCAATTCATTTTGCAAACCTGCCAACCAACAAATCCCGTTTCCATTGGCCTTCCAGATGTTAAGAGGCTGGGCCCGCAACAGGCTTACATTTGCTGAAGTCGAACGCCAGCTGCAGACTGGCGCAGAGGTACGCTTGGCAGCTGGAGCATTTCAACATGTCGCACTCCACGTTGGTCCATCCGTACTTGGCGCAGATCAGGGGCGACAGCTCATGGGGTTTGCCCGCCCACTTGAGGGAGTGTTTGGCGTTAAGGAGCCTGGACAGCTCAACAGATTAAGCACTGTAATTTAACACCAGCTGTCTGCAATTAAAGTAAGATCGAATCTTGCCAGGCTCAAGGTTGACTCAGCCTTCCATCCTTTCTAAGGTAGGTAAAACGAGGACCCAGATTGTGGGGGCAATAAACTGACTTTGTATATAAATATACAAAAGGATGAAGGCTATTGCTTAACGCACTGTAAGCTGCCCTGAGTCTCCGGAGAAGGGCGGCATATAAATCAAATTAAAAAAAAAAAAAAAGGAAAGCCACTTGAGATTTGGGGGAGGCAGGGGTTTATGAAAAATCTGGCCTTCCTATCAACTTCTATAGGCCAGCATGAAATATTATCCAATTCTCCCAGCTCTCAATACAGGCAGTCCTCGACTTACGACAGTTCATTTCGTGACCGCTCAAAGTTCAGTTACAATATCGCTGAAAGAAAATGACAGAGGGCCATTTTTCACACTTAAAATCACTGTGCCCCAGGGCCACGCAATATACATTCGGATGCTACTGACTCACATTTATTTTTTTAATAGTTTATTTCTATATTTTAAGAACTGGCTCACATTTATGACGGTCGCAGTGTCCTGGGGGTCATGTGATTCCCCTTTTGCGACATTCTGACAGGCCAAGTCAATGGGGAAACCAGATTCACTGCAGTGGTTTCCCTTAGCAGATGGGGCAAGGAAAGTCATAAAATGAAGCAAAACTGACTTAACAGATTTCTCACTTAACGACATACATTTTGGGCTCAATTGTGATCGTATGTTGAGGACTACCTGTATCTGGACAGCTCCTAGCTGGAAGGGGAAGAGAAACAATTGAGAAAAACCACTTTTTATTGGGAATAGCACCTCCCACTTTAAATGCAGGTAGTCCTTGACTAAAACCATTCATTTAGTGACTGTTCGAAGTTACAATGGCACTGAAAAAAGTAACTGGTGACTGATTTTCACATGACTGTTGCAGCAGCTCCACCGTCACGTGATCAAAATTCAGACAGCTTAACAACTGACTCATATTTATGACGGTAGCAGTGTCCGGGGTCCTGTATCCTCTTTTGCGAACTTCTGACCAGCAAGGTCAATGGGGAATCCACATTCACTTAACAACCACGTGACTTATTTAACAACTTCAGTGATTCATTTAACCACTGTGGCCAGAACGACGTAAAATGGGGCAAAACTCACTTAACCGTCTCGCTTAGCAACAGAAATCTGGGCTCCAATGTGGTCATAAGTCGAGGACTACCTGTATATTTTGTTTCCTCTAGGCAACACCCCTCCCGCCAAAAGGAAGCAGCTCTAGAATAATTGGGACTCAAAGGATATGGTGAATGTTTCGACTCGGCTGTAGAAAGCATCTTTGCTAGTGGATTCAAAATGCGGCTCGTTGGTCTGGGGAGATCCATTGGCCACCTCACCGAAGACAGAGGCATCTTTTCTGAAACGAAAGCGAGAGGATTCAGAGAAATGATTTTCAATTCACAAGAGCGAGTAGTAATAGTTTCTCTCCACCTCCTTCTTTCAGGGACCCCTAAAAGTGTGTAAAATTAACCTGTGGTAGAGAAACAGTGATGGAATTTTTGAATTGGGCTTGGACCTTGGAGGCCATTCAGTCTGACCCCCTGCTCAGGGCAGAATTGGAATGGAAACTCCCCAAATGAAAGGCTGCTTCGTCCTAGTTCTTAGGCTTTCATGGCTAAGGCAGAACTAGAACTCACAGTCTCCTGGTGACTGACTCAAAGACACCCAAGCTGGCTTTCATACCTAAGGTGGGACTAGAACTCACTGTCCTCTGGTGATTGGCCCAAAGTCACCCAGTCAGCTTTCATGCTTAAGGCGGACTAGAACTCACTGTCTCCTGGTGACTGACCAAATTCATCCAGCCAGCTTTCCTGTCTTAAGGCAAGACTAGAACTCACTGTTCCCTGGTGATTGGCCCAAAGTCACCCAGCCTCTTTCATGCTAAGGTGGGACTAGAACTCCCTGTCTCCTGGTGATTGGCCCAAACTCACCCAGCAGCTTTCATGCCTAAGGCAGGACTAGAACTCCTGTCTCCTGGTGATTGGCCCAAACTCACCCAGGCAGCTTTCATACCTAAGGCAAGACTAGAACTCACTGTTCCCTGGTGATTGGCCCAAACTCACCCAGCCTCTTTCATGCTAAAGCAGGACTAGAACTCCCTGTTTCCTGGTGATTGGCCCAAATTCACCCAGCTGGCTTTCCTGTCTAAGTCAATACTAGAACTCACTGTCTCCTGATGTTTGGTCCAAAGTCCCCTCTGTATTGCCTAAGGTGGGACTAGAACTTACCGTCTCCTGGTGATTGGCCCAAAGTCACCCAGCTTGCTTTCATGCCTAAGGCGGGACTAGAACTCCCCGTCTCCTGGTGATTGGCCCAAACTCACCCAGCTTCTTTCATGTCTAAGGTGGGACTAGAACTCACCGTCCTGGCGATTGGCCCAAACTCACCCAGCCACCTTTCCTACCTTAAGCCAATACTAGAACTCACCGTCACCTGGGTTCTATCCCAGCACTTTCCCAAGCCGTCCTTCTAATTCAGAGGTCTTCAAACTTGGGCCGCTTGAAGGCTGGTGGACTTCAACTCCCAGAATTCTCCAGCCAGCATAGCTGGCTGGAGAATTCTGGGAGTTGAAGTCCACCAGCCTTCAAGCGGCCCAAGTTTGGGGACCCCTACTCTAATTGAACCCCAATGAAAACAATGGTCCACGGCGTCCCCATCAACCCCCCAGCCCCTTCCCCTCACCCAATCCCGTCCCCTCCCCCGCCCTCCCAGGCCCACAACCCGCCTCTCCTCCCCATCCGCCTGGGACGAAGCCATTGGGCGGTGGGAGTCGGGGGTGGGGTGCGGGGGATCTCTCCGTCCTTCCGCGCTCACTTGTCCTGCTGCCCGGCTTCCTCCGGGGCGATCCCTTCGTCGATCAGCTCCCGCACCTTCTGCGGCGTGATGGCCGGGGACTTCGGCTTGGGGGTCGCCAGGGCGCCGCTCTCGTTGTCCGGGGCAACAGCAGCAGCAGCAGCAGCAGCAACCGCCGCGGGGCTGGGCGCCGCCATCTTGGTCCGTCCTTAGAAAGCGTTCCCCCCGGACAACCGAAGACCGGAAGCGGAAGTTCCGGGAAATCTTCGTTCCTACCTGGCTCAACGGCTTGATTCAGACTGGCCCGTTACAAAACGATGCCTGGGGTTGGAAATGAGGAGGGGGGCTATAGATTGAAAAAACGTCCTTTTCTGCCCCCTTACAAAACAACGCCTGGGGCTGGAAATGAGGAGGGGGGCTATAGATTGAAAAAAGTTTCCTTTTCTGCCTCCTTACAAAACAATGCCTGGGGCTGGAAATGAGGAGGGGGGCTATAGATTGAAAAAAAAGTCTCCTTTTCTGCCCCCTTACAAAACAATGCTTGGGTCTGGAAATGAGGGGGGGCTATAGATTGGGGAAAAAAGTCTCCTTTTCTGCCCCCTTACAAAACATGGCTGAGGCTGGAAATGAGGAGGGGGGCTATAGACTGAAAAAAAGTCTCCTTTTCTGCCCCCTTACAAAACAATGGCTGAGGCTGGAAATGAGGAGGGGGGGCTATAGATTGGAAAAAAAGTCTCCTTTTCTGCCCCCATACAAAACAATGCCTGGGTCTGGAAATGAGGAGGGGGGGGCTATAGACTGGGGGAAAAAAAGTCCTCCAATTCAGTTGATCCCACCGATGCCCGATTGTACGTGCCAATCAATGCCAATGCCCTGCCAACGAATTTCTGAGATTGACAGCTTAATATACCTGGAGGGCGCCCGGTTGGGGAAAGTCCCTGGTTTAGTACAAGCCACCAGCCATTCCTATTTTTTTTTTTTTTGCAAATATTTTTATTCTGTTTCATAAACAAACCTTCAAACACAAACTCACATATCTTTATCCCCCTTTTTAATGTATCTACTTATCTAGTTTCTTCTATTGGTAAGGATCTTTTTTGGGGGGGGCAGTTGCCTGCAGGTACTTAAATTCATTTTTGGATTTACACATTGCATTGAACAGAAAACTAATGACACACGAGAGCATTTCTCCAATGCAATTAGTCCTCAATTTCTGGTGGCAGGCTGTTCCACTGGCTAATTGTCCTCACTGTAAGGAAGTTTCTCCTTAATTCCAGGTTGCTTCTCTTCTTGGATTAGTTTCTATCCATTGTTTCTTTGTCTTGCCTTCTGGTGCTTTGGACCCCCTCTTCTTTGGGGCAGCCCCCTAAATATTGGAAGACTTCTGTCATGTGAACCTGTTGCCTTTCCATGGTGATAATTGCAATTCCCATCATCCCCAGCCACTGGCTGCGGAAGACAAGACAGGGCAAGGCTTAAAAAACTCCGAAATGCAACCCATTTCCCGTTAATTTCACGGCTGCGGTCGATTGGCCGCCGAGTCTATTGAAAATTGCCTACAATTGAACTACAGCCCCCAGCAGCCCTTGCGAAGAGGTCGCGCGGGACAGTTGTTCCGGCTTCGATTGCTTCTGCCTGACGCAAGGCCGCCAGAAAGCGAAGGGTCGGATCGGCCATCCGCCGTCTCTTGCCGATCACGTGGTGCCGCCGGGCGGTCGCTGCGACCGACGGCTCTCTATGATCATCCGGCCCTCCCCTCGCAGCCTCGCAACAAGCGCGCCTCCTATTGGCTGGCGCGGAGTTAGGGCGACGCTGATTGGCCCGCCAGGGGAAACGCCGCTTATCGCGGTGCTTTGAGGCGGCTGAGGGGGGCTCCGCCGGTCGGCCGTTGAGGGGACGCGGGGCGAGGCCAAGCCCGGGCCGGCGGGGAGCATGTCTGCGGCCGACGGAGAAGGTTGGGACGGCAACGGGCAGCGCGGAGGGGGTAGCGGCGACGGGCCGGCCGCTCAGGCCCCATCCGGGGGGCTCCTCAACCGCTTCGTCCGACTCCCGCCCGGCCCCGGACGCGTCGGTGAGTGAAAGGGAGGCCCTGGCCGCGGGAGGGCCCTTCTTGGCTCTCTTGGCTCCCTAGGCCTCGCACAACACCCCTGCGAGGTAGGCCGGGCTGGGCGTGACCGGCCTAGAGTCCATTTCTCCCACCCGCCCTTCCCGGAGAGCGGGAATATCCGGCTCGGCCTCCGGCCTCCAGCGGAGCCCCGTGAAGGCTGCTCCTGCCTCCTGGAAGAGGAAGAAAAATGGGCGGGGAGTGGAGCTTCCTTGCTCCAGGGCACTTTATCTGGGAAGGACGCCCCCTTGAGGAGGGACAAGGGCTTTAAAAGTTTGGGGCAGAGTTGGGACTGCAGGTCCTGGCGGGTGGGATGGTTCTCAGGAAATGGGGGGGGGAGGGGAACATTCAGTCCTTTTTAGGGTTAGGGTAGGGCCTGGATGGGGGACCACCAGGAAATCCCTGTGGGGGGAAGGCAAATCCTTGGTGGTCTCTCAGCTTGGTGGGGGGGGGGCTTTGCAGGCGTTTTGTGACCCAACTAGGGAACATCATCAGTGCTAGAAGAGAGGGAGGGTACCTTGTTGAATGGAGGAGGAGAAGGGGAGGAAAAGGAGAAGAAAAAGGGGAGCAGGAGGAGGGGGGAGGGCTGTGGGGGGGTCTTCAGTACTCTCTGAGCTTGGGTGGTTTTCTTGCAGGCGTTTCACGACCCAACTAGGCAACATCATCAGTGCTGGAAGGGAGGGGCGGTTTGTGGAGAGGAGGAGGAGGGGAAGAGAAACAGGAAAAAGGAATGAAAGTAAGGAAGATGAAGGAAGAGGAGGACTGTGAGGTCCTTGGTGGTCTCTGAGCTTGATGGTTTCCTTGTAGACGTTTCATGACCCAACTAGGGAACATCATCAGTGCTGGAAGGGAGTGAAGTTGATGGGGAGGAGGAGGAGGAGGAGGAGGAGGAGGAGGAAAGCATGGGGCTTTTGATAGTTTCTGAACTTGGTGGTTTTCTTGCAGACGTTTCATGACCCAACTAGGAAATATCATCAGTGCTAGAAGGGAGTGCAGAGAGGAGGAGGAGGAGGACTGTGGGGTCCCCGGTGCCTCTCTGTGCTTGGTGGTCTTCTTGCGGACATCTCATGATCCAGCTAGGTAACAGCATCAGTGCTAGAAGGGAGTTGGGTTTGTAGGGGAGAGAAGGAGGACAAGGACAACAATGGAGTCTTTGCTGCCCTCTGAAGTTGTTTTTTTCTTGCAGGTGTTTCATGACCCAGCTAGGTAGCATCATCAGTGCTAGGAGTGAGTGAGGTTGGCTCTGTATTTATACCCCAATCAAGGATCTACCAATTCAGACAGATAAACAGTAAGCAATCAAGGGACTTCCTGATCAAGGAACCCGCAAGATCCCTCCCACCAAACACTGATGGGACAAGCCACTTGTACATAAACAGAAAGTAAATCATCTCCACCCCCTTCTAACATTGATGAAGTTACCTCCATGGGTCATGAAATGTCTGCAGGAACACAACCAAGCTCAGAGAGCACCAAGGACTAAACAGTTTTTCTCCCCCACTCCAGAAACCAGACTGAGAACCGATGCTGTTACTTAGTTGGGTTATTAAACTTCAAGAAAACGACCAAGCTCGGAGAGCTCCAAGGACCCCACGGTCCTCCTCCTCCTCAACCCCACTTCCATCTAGCACTGATGATGTTCCCTAGCTGGGTCATGAAATGTCTGCAAAAGAAAGCAACCCAACTCAGAGAGCACCAAGGACCCCTCAGTCCTCCTTTCTTTCCCTTCTTCCTCCTCCCCTCTCCCCCCCCAACAACTTCCACTCCCTAGTAATGTCACCTAGTTGGGTCATAAAACATCTGCAGGAAAACAACCAACCTCACAAACCACCAAGGACTCCACAGTTCAACCATGAGCTACGAACCTTCTCTTCTAAATAAATCCTAGAGTGTAGCTAAAGATAGACCTTGAAAGCAGGCCTAAAAGAAGGCCATGAAGCCTCACTTCTCTATTGATAGCAGAGAAACCGTGTGGAGTTTCCTGGCAGTCAGAGAGAGCTGACCTCAGCTTGAAGAAGATTGTGCTTTTTTTGCATCTTCTGGGATTTACTAACCATGTGAAAGTACCCTCATAGGAAGTCATGCTGTTCTTTTTCAGCACTTTTGGTTGGCTACAAGGAATTTGGAAAATGGCCACAGGAAATTTCCCAGTGTTTCCAGTTTGCTCAGGAAGCTTGTGCTGGGACACGATGGGCAACTCAGTTGTTTGGTGTGCTGTGCCTGTCAGGATGAAGGGGATGGAAGAGAAATTTTGGGAGATTTGGCTAGGCCTTCAGTTACATTTTTGTCAAAGACGTTGGGTTTTGTCTACTAGCTAATTTAAGAATAACTTATGATGTTATTTTATATCCCGTCTTTATTCTCCTAAACAAGTTAAGGCGGCAAACATATCTCAGACTCCTCCTTCCCCCTATTTTTTCCAACACAACAACCTGGGTTTGGCTGAGAGAGGAGGACTAGCCCAAAGTCACCCAGCTGGCTACGATTCTTTTCCAAAACAAATTGTGTTTTGCACTTGTTCAACCCCAGGTTATGGGGCTGCCCTTAACAGAAGCTGTTTTCCCATTCGGTACCGAAAAGGTTATAAATAGTGGAGTTGCCTTATTGTGTAGATTAAATCCCTAAAAGTCTAATGAAATATACAGGAGCCTGAATTTCAGCCGTACGGGAGGAAAGCTTTGATTCTCCAAGGCGCTGTATTGCAGAGAAGTTCTATTTTAGTGCACTTTTGGGTGGTTGAAGCGCTGCACACAACCCTAAATAAACCTTAAGTAGTGCAAAGTTCAGCTCTGTGGTTGCTACGAGGAGAACTTTTTGCTACTTTGAGGAAGACGTTCTAAGTAATTCATCACCAGCAGGTCGAATGCTGTATTCCTGGCCTCGTGCCACTCCTCTTGCTCTCCTTGCTATCCCAGCTAGATATCGGTTAAAATTCTCCAGAGATGTTTTCTGATGCAGCATTATATATGTTGTTGATTGATCAATATCCTGGCTTTTATTATTATTTTTATAAATAAGGCAGAGAACATACATAATACTACTACTTCCTGCTCCTATTTTCCCCACAGCAACAGCCAGCTGAGGTGGCTTGGGCTGAGAGAGAATGACTGGCCCACAGTTACCTATCTGGGTTTCATGCCTAAGGCAAGACTAGAACTCACCGTCTCCTGGTGATTGGCCCACATCTCATAGTGACTGGCCCAAAGTCACCCAGCTGGCTTATATGCCTAAAGGGGGACTAGAACTCACCGTCTCCTGGTTCCTAGGCCAGCACTTAACCACTACACTAAACTGACTGTCCCACATACTTTATTTATTTATTTTATTTTATTAATTATATTTATATACCTCAGGACTCAGGGCGGTGAACAGCCAAGATCAAATACATAAAAATAAAAGTTAAGAACAATTTAAAACCAGATTAAATACTTTAGCCCACAATTAAAAAGATCCCATTAAAATCCAATTTAAAATTTTGCTGGATGCTGAAATTTTATCTGTTGTGACATTTGCCGCACAGCCTTAGCGCTCCATTTCCTACATCACCCAGTTTTGCCCCAGTGATTTTGTGTCTTCTCTGAGTGACAAAAAAGGTCTTTATTCTGCTTTAGGCCACCGAGTGCCGCCCGCCAGAAGCGGCCACCGCTGCGTGGCAGACAATGCCAACCTGTATGTGTTTGGAGGATACAATCCTGACTACGATGAATCTGGAGGGCCGGAGAATGAAGATTACCCGCTGTTCCGGGAACTCTGGCGATACAACTTTGCTACTGGCACCTGGCATCAGATGGGCACCGAGGGCTACATGCCTCGCGAGTTGGCATCCATGTCGCGTAAGTGCAAGCGGATGAATTACTGATGAATAGCTCAAAATGGATCTCAAAATTGTTTTAAAAAGTTAAGAATAAAACCAAACACAAATGCCACCTGAAAAATTGGCAAAAATGTTTAAAGATAAATCAGCTAAATGTTAGAAATGCCATCAGACACCAGGATCGTATTATCATATGTGGTGGACGTGTCCGGAAGCGAGAAATTATTGGATTAAAATTAAAACATGGTTAGAAGAAATGATACGACAACATATGGATTTAAAACCTGAATTGTTCCTATTGGGTATCTTACCAGAGAAATTTAGTAAAGAAAATACATATTTGATTATACATGTTGTAACGGCAACGAGGATAGTATTTGCGCAAAGATGGAAAGCAGAGAAAATCCCTACAGAGGGAGAAGTAATTAAGAAAATATTGGATTGTGCAGAAATGAATAGATTGACTTTGACAATTAAAGAAAGAGAGGAATCGGAATATTTTAAGGGGTGGGGGCAATTTTATCATTGGTTAGAGAAGAGACATATATAGGGTAATGTAATGAAATGAGTGAAGAAAAGAAAGGAGACAGATAAATGTATTAAGAGAAAAGCAAGGGATAATGAATGTCTGGAAATGTATATATCAATGTATATCAATATATCAATGTATATTGAATTTGTGAATTTAATATAGGTTTATTAAATACATGCATAGTTGTTTAGGAAGTAAAATACTGCATAATTGATTTATAATGAAATGGGAGATATGTAAATTTGTATATAGATCAAGGAATAGATTACTTATTAACTTGATTTAGATGCAAATGTTAGAAACCAGAGACGTTGAGCAATGTCCATTGTTTTACTTTTAAAATGAATAAAATATTTAAAATTAAAAAAAAGGGAAAAGCAAGAATATATGGGAGAAATGTTATAATAAATGGAATGATAATATTAAAATATGATAAATAATGGAGGAGTAACAAGAAGACACAAAAGATGTACTCAGATGATACACTGAATGATTGATTATGTATTATATGTTTGTCTATAAAATAAAAAGCTTTTATACAAAAAAAAAGAATAAAACCAAACACAATGGGAAAGAAAAAACAATACGATTATTTAAAAAGGTTAAGAAAGGAGAAACAAGAATGAAATAAACCAGGTATTCTTGCTTGTTTCATTCTTGTATTTCTTTTCTTACCCTTTTTAAATAATTACGTTGTGTTTTCCCACAGTGCACAATTTGGTGACGGCTGGTGCCTAAATTAAATAAGTTTAAACATGTTTGCATGTTTCACTATGCAAAAACTATATTAGAATAAGATTGAGAATGAAACTGTTATGTTCAGCTTCTTGTTGCAACTCCTCTGTGCATGATTATGGGTAGTCCTTGACTTACGACAGTTTGTTTATTGGCAGTTATGACTGGTTTTCCCATTTATGACCATTGTAGCATCCTCAGGGTCACCTGATCAAAATTCAGACGCTTGGCAACGGACTCATACATCTAAAGGTGGCAGCATCCGTGGGGTCACTTTTGCGACCTCCTGACAAGCAGAGTCAACGGGGAAGCCAAATTCACTTAACAGCCATGTTATTAACTTAACAACTGCAGTGATTCACTTAAAAACTCTGGCAAGAGTTTCATTCACATCACGTGCTGAATCACCCAGAGTTTCTAAATAGTCCAAAGACCCACGTGCCTTTGCTCTTCCTTTATGTTTTATGGGCCAGTCATCTCCAAGCCTTACTCCCGAGTCGTCCCTTTTGTTTTAACTCTTCTTGCCTTCTGGCAGCTCTGCGCATGCGCGCACTAGGAACAGGCTCCTCCTGTTCCTCTGCCTCTCTGATGTCCGACTCTGGAGGCTCTGGAGTCAGCACATAACTCCCAGATGGCCCTGGCCCCATCTCTGCCTCCGACGTAGAGCCCTCATCCGGGCCTTTCCCAGCCTCCAGGACTGGCCCATGTTCCTCCCCAGCCTCCTCACTGTCTGACTCTGCTGCCAGCTCCGCAGGTTGCAGGCGGACCACAACAAATGGGACAAAACTCACTTCGCATCTATTTCGCTTAGCAACAGAAATGTTTGGCCCAGTTGTGTTTGTAAGCCGGGGACTAAACCTGCTCTTTGCAACATAGCAGTATTTGCAGCTGGATCAATTTCCTCCTTGCTCGTCTTGTTCACCAAACCCCTTTCTGTGTTGTCTTTCCGCAGTCGTGCTGCACGGCAATAACCTCTTGGTCTTTGGCGGCACCGGGATCCCCTTCGGGGAGAGCAACGGGAACGACGTCCACGTCTGCAACGTGAGATACAAACGGTGGGCCCTCTTCAATTGCCGAGGGAAGAAGCCGAACCGCATCTACGGACAGGTAAAAAGGCAGCCACGGACTTCTCGAGAAACCCACTGAACATTCCTTTGGTGGTTAAATTTATATGCCCCCCCATCTGACTATCCAGAGAGACTCTGGGCGGCTTTACAATAAAATCATAAATAGTAACATTAACGAAGTTAGATTAAAAAATTGTACAGGTAATCCTCGACTTGCGATCACAATTGAGCCCAACGTTTTTCTGTCAATCAGAATAGAACTGGAAGGGACCTTGAGGTCTTCTAGTCCACCCCCCTGATCAAGCAGGAGAGCCTACACAATTTGAGACAAGTGGCTGTCCAGTCTCTTCTTAAAAAGCTCCAGTGATGGCGCTACCCACGACTTCTGTTCCACTGGTTACTTGTCCTCATTGTCAGGAAGTTTCTCCTTCATTCCAGGTTGCTTCTCTCCTTGATTAGTTTCCATCCATCGTTTCTTCTCCTGCCTTTTGATGCTTTGCAGAATAGCTTGACTCCCTCTTCTTTGGGGCACCCCCTCAAATACTGGAAGACTGCTATCACATCCCACCTAGTCCTTCTTTTCTCTAAACTAGCCAAACCCAAATCCTCCAACCGTTCTTTATATGTTTTAGTCTCCAGGCCTTTAATCATCTTAGTTGCTCTTCTCTGCACTTTTTCCAAAGTCTCAACATCCTTTTTTGTAATGTGACCAAAACTGGATGCAGCATTCCAAGTGTGGCCTTACTAGGGCTTTATAAAGTGGTACTAACACCTCACATGATTTTGATTCTATGACTCTGTTTCTACAACCAAGGATTGTATTGGCTTTTTTTGGCTGCACCAGAACTCCCAAGGTCCTTCTCATTGGTACTACATGTACCAATACTCTGAGAAGTATTGGTACATGTAGTATTGGTACATTGCTATTATTTCACCCTTAGTCCTTTTCACTAGACTAGACATACTGAATTTCTGAAACTGTTCCTCATATGTTTTAGTCTCCAGGCCCTTAATCATCTTTTCTGCACTCTTTCCAGAGTCTCTACATCTTTTTTATAATATGGAGACTAAAAGTGGATGCACTATTCCAAGTGTGGTCTTGCCAAGGCATTATAAAGCGGTACCAATAATTCATGTGATCTTGATTTTACCCCTCTGTTAAGGCAACCTAGAATTGCAGTGGCTTTTTTTGGCTGCTGCCACAGATTGCTGGCTCATATTTAAGTGATTGTCCACCAGGTTTCCCCTGATGTAGCTTACATAAAATGCCACCTATTTTCACACGACCTTTTCTTTTCTCCCTGTCAGGCTATGGCCATCATTAACGGGTCCTTGTACGTCTTTGGAGGAACGACTGGCTATATCTACAGCACAGACTTGCATAAGCTGGACCTCAACACCAGGGAATGGACGCAGCTCAAGCCAAACAGCCTGCACTGTGATATGCCAGAGGAAAGGTCAGCGGGGCCAAAATCCGTGGTCTTGGGGGTGGACTCCTTTATGCTCAGAATATCCCCTGGGAGATGCAACATGGCGACTCTTCCTTTAAAAAAACACCTCATCGTTCACTGCCGAAACAATGTCATCCATTTATCCATTTTACTTATGACATTTTTACTTCTGCAATCTCACTATCGAGGGACCGTATATGACTTACAATGCCATAGAAACAAGGATGTTGTTATTCAATTGCAAAGCGGGAGCCGGGATGTTGCGGTGTTAAGAATGCAGTACAGGTAGTCCTAGCCTTACGACCGCAATGGAGCCCCAGATTTCTGTTGCTAAAAGTGAAACGTTTGTTAAGTGGATTCGGCCCCGTTTTACGACCGTTCTTGTCGCAGTTCTAAAGTGAATCAATGCAGCTGTTCAGTTCCCCGTGGACTTTGCCTGTCAGAAGGTCGCAAGTTACGGTCATAAGTTACTTTTTTCAGGGCTGTTGTAACTTTGAACAGTCACTGAATGAACTGTTGTAAGTCGGCTACTTGTAGTGCAGGCTGACTCTGCCCATTGCCAGGAGTTTGATCCTGGCTCCCCAGGCTATTGCTTAGGGAGGGAGGGAGGGAGGGAGGGAAGGAAGGAAGGAAGGAAGGAAGGAAGGAAGGAAGGAAGGAAGGAAGGAAGGAAGGAAGGACATGATGGCACAGTGGTTAGAATGTAGTATTGCAGACTAACTCTGCCGACTGCCAGGAGTTCGATCCTGATCAGCTTAAGGTTGACTCAGCCTTCCATCCTTCCGAGGTTGGTAAAATGAGGACCCAGATGGTTGGCAGCAATATGCTGACTCTGTAAACCACGTAGAGAGGGCTGTAAAACGGTATATAAATCTTAAGTGCTATTGCTTAGTTGTGTCTGATTCTTCGCAACCCCATGGACCACGGCACACCAGGCCCCTCGTCCTCCACTGTCTCCTGGTGCTTTCACAAATTCATTTTCGTTGCATCGATGATGCTGTTTTACCCACCTCTGCCATCTCCTCCTGCTTTCCATCTTTCCCAACATCGGGGTCTTCTCCAAGGAGCCCTCTCTTCTCATTTGGTGGCCAAAGTATTTGAGCTTCAGTTTCGGGTATCTGCTCTTCCAAAGAGCAATCAGGGTTGATTCCTTTCAGGATCGACTAATTTGATAAATATAGATCTATTTGATGAGGGGTCCTTAGTGCTCTCTGAGCATTGAGAACACCAAGGACTCTTCGTGTCAGAACTGGCCAGCGCTTAAACCTCCAAATAGAAATGATCCCTGGCTCCATTTGTTCAGAAAGGTATAGTTTTATTAGAAATCAGATATCCTGGAGAAATGCATACCCATAACTAAGCATCAAAAATTCCTAAGCTCTACTTTTCCCTCCCTTAACTGCTTCCCATCACATGACACCCCCGTGGCCGATCAGATTCAAGCAAGATGTTTTCAGAACGGACACTTCAAACGTACCTGACAGTAGATTGGTACGCAGCTCCTTTCCTCTCCCAGCCGGCTGACCTTGAGGCAGCATCTCGGGGAGATGCAACAGTTACTTTCGCTTTCCCCTTCAAGCATTTCCCTCTTCCCATACACCTTCCCCAGAGTTCATGGCAGACTGTCACCGAATGGTAGCAAAGCACAAGCGAGCGTTAAGGTGACAGCTGGCACCTCCTGCCAACCCTGAGCTACACATATTCTCCTTTATTGGATCTATTTAATATTATAAAATTTTAATACTAGAAAATTTTCTTAATTGAATCCAATCTTTTAACCAAGTTATTGCAGCTGCCTGATAATATAATTCTCAATTGGGTAGGCCGAATCCTCCTTTGGTTCTGGAGTCCTGCAGAAGTTTACGTTTTATTTGGGCTTTTTTCCCCAGCCAAATGAATTTACCTATCATTCTATTTAAATATTCAAAAACCGGTTTCCCTAGTCTAATTGGTACCGATTGAAAAAGATATAATAATTTTATTTATTTATTTATTTATTTATTGGTTCGGTTTATATGCCGCCCTTCTCCGGAGACTCAGGGTGGCTTACAATGCATTAAGCAATAGCCTTCATACTTTTGTATATACCTGCTTAGTAGGGCTTTCGGCCCCCCCCCCCAAGCGGTGTTCTTTTTTTATACAAAGTCAGCTTATTGCCCCCACAATCTGGGTCCTCATTTTACCTACCTCGGAAGGATGGAAGGCTGAGTCAACCTTGAGCCTGGTGAGATTTGAACTCGCAGTAATTGCAGGCAGCTGGTGCTAGTTAACAGCACTCTAGTCTGCTGCGCCACCAAGGTTCTTATTTAGGTAATCCATTCATCTTTATCACGGCTATTCTACCTATTAAGGATAACTGTAATACTAGAAAAATTTAATTATGACCTCCGGCCTTGTCCTTTCAGGTACAGGCACGAAATTGCGCACGACGGGCAGAGAATTTACATCTTGGGAGGCGGGACCTCTTGGACGGCCTACTCCTTGGACAAGGTGACCTCTTCAAAGGCCTTTTATTGATATTTTATTTATTTATTTATTTGGGTTTCTGTAGCCACACCCAAACCACCGCCACCATCATAAATACGAGTCAGCTGCCAAGGGTCTGAATTTTGATTGCCTGACCATGGGGACGCTGCTAAAGTGTGAAAAATGGCCCTAAGCCATGTTTTTCCAGTGCCGTCGTAACTTTGAACGGTCACTAAATGAACAGTCGTGAGTAGAGGATACCCGTAAGAGGATTCGTGTAATCCGAAAGGGGGTTAAAGGAAAAAAACACAAGCTTGGTGGTCGAGACAAAACAGGTGTCAAAGCACCTGGGACACCTTTCTTTGACTGCCAGTGCTGGGCAGCCCAAGCAAACGACAGCCAACGGCTCCAAAGCCAATACCCCAAGCGACCTCTTTAAAAAGCCACATGCAACGGGCGTTATATAAATACCACGCACAGAAAAACACAGACACTCGGCTAGACAGACGTTCCCTGAAGATGGCCCCCAGCGCGAGTCCGAAAACCTGGAAGACAAAACCTCGACCCAGATTGGGATCGATGATAATTCGCCTCAGCCAACTCGCTTGCAGGACAAGAGTTACACTAATACCAAAGAAATGGTGGCATAGAATCATTAAAGAAAGCGTGAGAAAGGAGGGAGAGAATGAAATGCGAAGGGCAAAAATTTAATTTCCTACTTATTTTAAATAATTTTGTTATTTAATGACCCCATGATCCCTTGCATCGGGGTGGAGTCTGGGTAACCGAATGAAGCTGAGTGTTTACTGGCTGGATGCCCTTCCTGTCGCCAGTGCGGAGTTTTTTTTCCAGCAGATCTATTCTCATTGCGCCTAGAGAGAAATATCTGCCTCTACCTAGGATCCAACCCACAAGCCTCCTGATTGTGAGGCGAGAGCTCCCCCTCTAGGCCAACGCACCACTCATGTTTTAAACAATTAAGGAGAATTGTGTAAAGTTTTGTCCCAGGGCGAATTGGCCGCAACAAATTGGCTGTGGCCAGTTGTCCCATTCTGCCCAGATTGGATCCTGCAACCTTTGACATCTGTCAGAGAAGAGGCAGCTTGTCCTGACGGAGGAGTGCTGAGCCTTCACCCCGGCTCCATGGCCGCCTTTGATTTTTTTTTAAAAAAAAAATTGTAACTGAATTGTGTTTCCCTCTTGCTTAAGATTCACGCCTACAATCTGGAAACCAACACTTGGGAAGAAATCGCCACGAAGCCTCATAAGAAGAAAGGTAGGGGGGTCTTACGATCTGTGTTTGTTGGCAAGGATGGAGGGGGCCCCTTTGAAGCCCAAAGGAAGATGAGAATGTGTTTTAATATCTTGTAAATCGTGCCGCATCGTTCACAACCATCGAGTCTTCTAATTTTGTTTTCAAAAATCTTCATTTATCTGGGACACTGGGGGGTCCTGGGTGCTCTCTGAGCTTGTGTTGTGACTCCTACACCTGAGCCTGTCCTCATGGAGGAAGAGGACTCAGAAGGTGATGGGGAGGAACTGGCAAGGCCTCCCTCTCCAGGACCTTCCTCTCTGGCAATGCCTCAGGTTCAATCCGAAGGCCAGAAGGAACAGCCTGGGATGTACCAGGAGGAAGGCATATCGGAGCATCCATTGATAGAGAGTGATAATGATGAATCCTGGCTTGATCCCAGGCAGCGTTGGAGGGAGAAGCGTGCGCAGCAAAGGAAGAGGCGTGGGAGGGCCAGGGATTGAGCTGAGTCACTGAGCCACGCCCCACAAGGGATAAAAGGGAGCGTGATTGCTCGGCAGGCTTTGTGACGGACAAAAGTTTAAACTCTAAAGAGTCACATTGTGAATCCTGCACTTCGGCTCAGATATATTTTGGATTAAACTCTTGTGGATAATTTGTCGCTCTGGAAACGGACTGCAGATAAGGCCTCTCCTGCTTTTTGGGAGTGCTAATTGGATTTGGTAGGCGTTTTACAAGTAGCTGCCAGAACTCTCGTCTGCCAGGAATTCTGGTCTGTTTATACAATACATTATTGGCAGGTGTGTTGGATATTGCAATTGTCTGAGTGAGGACCGGGGACAGAACAGCTTGGTTGGTTTCCTTTGCAGACGTTTCATGATCCAATTAGGTAATGTTATCAGTGCTAGAAGGGAGTGAATTTTGCTTTCTGTATATAGGTGGCTACATAAAGAGAGCAAATACCACTCCTTCTAGCACTGAAGATGTTACCTAGTTGGGTCATGAAACGTCTGCAAGGAAACCAACCAAGCTCAGAGCACCACTCCACAGACCTCCCCCTCCTCCTTTTTGCAAACCTTACTCCCTTCTACCACTGATGAGATTACCTAGTTGGGTCATGAGACATCTGCAAGAAAACCAACCAAGCTCAGAGAGCACCACGGACCCCACAGTTAAACCTGAGGCCATAAATATTCTCTTCCATTTGTGCAGCCAGCAGAAATTGAAACTGAACTCATGAATTTATTTATCTAATTTGTGAAAATGACTTGTACAAAATAGCTGGATCTTCAACTAATTTTTGGGCTTATCATTCTCTGTTGTGTTAAAAGATACTTTATTTAAAAAAAATAATGTTTTATAATGTTATAAAATGTTTTATAAAAAGCTTTCTTTAGAATGTAGATTTAGTCTCTTGGTGAAAATTTGACATGTCAGATTTTTTTTTTCCAATTATTCATTCAGAATTTAAAGTGAATTATTTCAGTTTCTTTGTTCTCTAATAAATTTGATACTTAGAATCTTATCCCTCTTTCCAGAATAATATCCACTGCATAAATAGACTTTATTTAGGTTAGCGATTAATTTGGAATAATTTCTGCATATATTTCAAGCTCATGTCGGTGGTCTGTATCCCAATTTTTATTCTCTTGCTGTCTGCATCAGTTAAGCTTTCCAGAGGTCTATAAGGCTTTTTAAAATCATGTTTTAGAGAAATGGGAAATTTTCTGTCATGGCACTCTACTTTTCCACTTCTAAAAATGGGGAAGTAGCTGATGTTTTAGAGCAGAGATATCCAATCTTGGCAGCTTTAAGACCTATGGACTTCAATTCCAGGAATTCTGGGAGTTGAAGTCCACAAGTCAAATCAAAGAAGCATTTTATGGATTAAATAACTCACATTCAGGCTTCTGACCCACAGATTACCCTGCAGCCCGAAGATGTCATAGCTGTGTACAGATAAAAAATGGTAAGAAAGAGTTTAATTTTGGAACTTGTGCAACAACAGAATTTCCTATTTGGGGTGGGTGGAATTCTGACAGGTTTACACTGCATATTTTTTATTATTATTTATTTATCCTGCCTATATTATATTTTTTTATAAATAACTCAAGGCGGCAAACATATTTAGTCCTCCTCCTCCCTCTTCTTTTCCCCACAAAAACAACCCTGTGAGGTGTGTTGGGCTGAAAGAGAGGGACTGGGCTAAAGTTACTCAGCCGACTTGGTGCCTGAGTTGGGACTAGAACTCACAGTCTCCTGGTGATTGGTCCAAAGTCATCCACCCGGCTTTCATGCCTAAGGTGAGACTAGTACTCCCAGTCACCCACCCGGCTGTTGTGGCCCTGACTCCCGAGCCTGTCCTAACAGAGGAAGAGGACTCAGAAGGTGATGGGGAGGAACTGACAAGGCCTCCCTCTCCAGGACCCTCCTCTCTGGCAATGCCTCAGGTTCCATCCGAAGGCCAGGAGGAACAGCCTGGGATGTTCCTCCCAGGAGGAAGGCATATCGGAGCACCCATTGATAGGGAGCGAGGAGGATGAATCCTGGCTTGATCCCAGGCAGCGTCGGAGGGAGAAGCATGCGCAGCAACGGAAGAGGCGTGGGAGGGCCAGAGATTGAGCTGAGTCACGGAGCCACGCCCCACCAGGAATAAAAGTGGGTGGGATTGCTCTTCAGGCTTTGTGACGGACAACGTTAAACCCTGAAAGTCACATCGTGATCTCTGAAATTCGGCTTGGATATATTTTGGACTGAACATTGACTAAAATCTTGTCTGGTGGATAATTTGTTGCTCCTGGAACGGACTGAAGATAAGTCCTCTTCTGCTTTATGGGAGTGAAAACGGTCTTGGCAGGCATTTGGCAGTTTGCTGCCAAAACCTTGGTCTGCCAAGAATCCTAATCTGTTTACCTAATAAAATATTGGCAGGCGTGCTTGGTATTACGCTTGCCTGTGTGAGGAAGGGGGACAGAACACCGGCTTCCACGCCCAACGGAGGGCTAAAATGCATGCTGACTGGGGAATTTAACTCGCAAGCCTCGGGGAAACGTTGGGAAATTACCAGTGAAAGAAACCCTTCAGGAAACTCATTTCTCATTCCATAATTCATATATATTGACGAGGGGGGAAAAAATCCTTCCGTCTTCTCTCAGATGTCTTTGTCTGCGGCGGATACAACGGAGAGGTGATTTTAGGCGACATCTGGAAACTGAGCCTGCAAACGTTTCAGTGGGTGAAGCTCCCTGCGGTGATGCCCGAGCCTGTTTATTTCCACTGTGCTGCTGTGACTCCGGTAAGAGGTTGCCCCTCCCCACCCCCTCCCCACCTGGTGACCGCAATCAGGCTGACCCCTTGAAGTGCTCCCTATCACCCTGGGGTCTCCAGGGTGGCCATACCGGGTCTTCAGGGCCTTTGGAAAACTATTAAAGTGGGAGCTGATCTTATCTCCGCAGGGATGATGTTCCACAGGGAGGGAGCCACCACAGAGAAGGCCCTTCTTCTCAATCCCACCAGATGGGCCTCCTTAAGAGGGGGGACCTTTAACACCCCCTGCCTCCTCCCTCTGGTGGGTCAGGTAGATGTAATGTCAGCCCTTCAGATCACCTGGCCCCTGAAGGAGTGCGAATGGGACAGCCTGGACTCACGGCTGTCTTTGGAAGAGCACTTGACGGATGTGGCCAGGGGGACTTTTTATCAGGTCCACCTGATTCGCCAGTTGCGTCCCTTTCTGGATCGGGACTCGTTAAATACGGTCACTCATGCTCTCGTTACTTCCCGCCTGGACTACTGCAATGCTCTCTACATGGGGCTCCCCTTGAGGAGCACCCGGAGGCTCCAGCTGGTCCAGAACGTGGCCGCGCGGGTGGTTATGGGAGCGGTGTGGCGCTCTCATGTGACCCCCCCGTCCTGCGCAAACTGCACTGGCTCCCGGTGGTTTTCCAGGTGCGCTTCAAGGTTTTGGTTACCATCTTTAGAGCGCTCCATGGCATCGGACCGGGGTATCTACGAGACCGCCTTCTACCAATAGCCTCTCACCGACCAGTACGCTCCCATAGAGAGGGGCTCCTCCGGGTGCCGTCGGCCAAGCAGTATCGACTGGTGGCCCCCCTTATTTGGCATTCTGCAGTTTTATTATTATATATATCTATATTGCAAACAAAATCGTTCCAAAGAGTTATGACTTTTTAGATTTTCCAAAGTTTGAATCCTGTGATTCCGGAAATAGCTCTCTCCCCAAATATAGCTTGAAATCATTCAAGCTAGTCCCGTTTCTTTAACATTAAGAGAGGGATAGAATCAGGATCACGTGAAGTGTTAATACCACTTTATAATGCCTTGGTAAGGCCACACTTGGAATCCGGCATCCAGTATTGGTCACCACGATGTAAAAAAAGATGTGGAGACTCTGGAAAGAGTGCAGAGAAGAGCAACAAAGAGGATTAGGGGGCTGGAGGCTAAAACATAGGAAGAACGGTTGCAGGAACTGGGTAGGTCTAGTTTGATGGAAAGAAGGACCAGGGTATGGACATGATAGCAGTCTTCCAATATCTCAGGGGCTGCCCCAAAAAAGAGGGAGTCAAGCTATTCTCCAAAGCACCTGAGGGTAGAACAAGAAGCAATGGGCGGAAACTAATCAAGGAGAGAAGCAACTTAGAACTAAGGAGGAATTTCCCGACTGTGAGAACAATTAACCAGTGGAACTCCTTGCCTCCAGAAGTTGTGAATGCTGCAACACTGGAAATTTTTAAGAAGAGGTTGGACAGCCATTTGTCTGAAGTGGTGTAGGGTTTCCTTCCTAAGCAGAGGGTTGGGCTAGAAGACCTCCAAGGTCCCTCCCGACTCTGTCTGTTATCTTCTTGGGGGTAAGGGGGGGCTGCCAGAAGAGGTCAGGCAAAGAGCTTAGAAGCTTTTCAAGACACAATTCTAAAAAATATATATATATTCTTTTTTTTCTTCTTCTGCTGCTGCTGCTCCACAGGCCGGCTGCATGTACGTCCACGGAGGCGTGGTGGACATTCACCGGAACAGACGGACTGGGTCTCTCTTTAAGATGTGGCTCGTGGTGCCCAGCCTGCTGGAACTCTGTTGGGAGAAGGTGCTGGTTTTTTTCCCTCACTTGGCCAACCTCAGCCGATCGCAGCTTTTGCACCTGGGACTGACGCAGGGACTCATCGAACGTTTGAAATGAAAAAAACGTCCCGCAGGCCGGCGCGCTAATTTAAACAAAATCCTTCCCCCCCCTCCCCTCCGGCCCTCCCCTCTCGCCCGTTCTCATTTCCTCTCTTATTTATGGTCCCGCCGAGAACGCCACGGAGGAGCAGGCCGCGAAAAAAAAAAAAATCCCCGCTTCTCCAAGCCTTACTCGCCAAGAACTTCGGATGCCTTTCCCGTTATATATATATATATAATTTTTTTCTATTTTGATTTGAGAATTTATTAAACTCTGTGCTTTTTTTTTTTTTTTTAATTTATGGAGACCTATAAATACATCATGAACGAAAAAGCTTCTGTGGCTGAGAGAATTTGTACAGGTAGTCCTCGACTTACAACCGTTCATTTAGTGACCGTTGGAAGTTAGAGCGGCTGTGGAAAAACTGACTTAACGTCCATTTTTTCACACCGTTGCAGCATCCACGCGGTCTCCCGTGTTCAAAAATTCGGATGCTCGGCAACTGGTTCCTATTTATGACGGTTACAGTGTCCCGTTGGGGGGTCCCTTTTTTGCGACGTTCTGACAAGCACTGGGGAAGCCACATTCACTTAACGACATGGGACTCGCTGAACGTCCGTAGCAAGAAAGCTCATAAAATGGGGAAAACTCATTGTCTCCCTTAGCAGCAGGAATTTTAGGCTCGATTGTGGTCGTAAGTTGAAGACTACCTGTACTGGATTTTTGTCACATGCTTATAGCGTCGTAAGGCGAGGACCCGGTCACCGCCTTCCGGTTTCAGGCCTCGATTTCCCCTTCGGTAAGACGTGGTGTCCTTCGTTCAACACACTGCAAAACGGCCTTGGCTCCCTCTGGAATCCGGTGAGGCCGTTTTCCTGCTTCCTGGCAGGAAATTAGGGAAACTCTGCACAATTTTTGTCATTTTGTGTGTGTGTTTCTTTTACAGTAGGTGACAACAGATGTTGCCCCTTGTGACTGTGTGAAAGGGGTCCTTTTGCTACCCAAATATTGCAAATATTGATTTTTTTCTGATATGCTGCTGCCTGACCAGGAAAGATCCTTGCTAAATCGCCATTCCTACCAACCTCCCACACTAGAAGAATGACTGAAATATAAGATATATAGAATATATCTCAAAAAAATAGAATAAGATACAGGTAGACCTCGACTTACAACAGTTCTGTTCTGTTTAGTGACAGTTCAGAGTGATGACACTGGAAAAAGGACTTAACGACCGTTATTCACACTTACAACCATTGCAGCTTTCCCCACGATGACGTGATCAAAATCCAGATGCTGGGGCAACGGATTCGCATTTACGACGGGGCGCAGCGTCACGCCACTCCCCCTTTTTGCGAAAGTCCACGGGAAGCCAGATTCACAAATTGTGTGACTTAACAAAACCGCAGCGAGACACTTAACAGCTGTGGCAAGAAAAGTGGTAAAATGGGGCAAACCCCACTTCACTCTGCCTCACTTAGCAACAAATTTTGGCCTCGGCGGTGGTCGTAACTCGAGGACTACCTGTATTCAAAAGAAAAAATCGTGAAAATGCTATTATTTTTTCTCCCGTTGCAAGTGTGTTTGCGTGTGTAAATGGGGGTGGGGGGGGACCCCAGACTCCGTACTGCAGCTGTATCGGCAACGAATTTTCCTTCTCTTCCGACCAGTTGGCCTTTCTTTGAAGTTCTCGTTTTCCGTCCATTTTTTTTTTTAAATAAAATTCTGAAATGCTGGATGGAGGGGAATATTCTCTGAAAAAGACCTTGTCAATAGCCAGGTCTTTGTTCCCAAGAACAGTCCCGTCGTAGCTGTGGTGTGTCTCAAATCAAAAATCCCCAATAAATGGGAGTCCTTGATTTACGACCACAATGGAGCCCAGAATTTCTGTTGTTCAGTGAAAAATTTGTTACGTTACTTTTCCCACCACATTGTTAAATTAGTAGCACGGTCGTTAAAAGAGAATCTGGTTTTCCCCCTTGACGTTGCTTCTCAGATGATCGCAAAAGGGGATCAGGTGACCTCGGGACATTGCGACGGTCATAAATGTGAGTCAGTGGCCAAGTGTTTCAATCTAAATCATGTGATTTATGGGGATGCTGCAATGGTCATAAGTGTGAGAAAAGGTCCTAAGTCATTTTTCCAGTGCCGTTGTAACTTCAGTCACAAACCATGAACTGCAGGTAGTCCTCAACTTACAACAATTCATTTAGTGACTGTTCAGTACAACACCACTGAAAAAAATGACAACCGTTTTACGACTTGCAGCCTCCCCAGGATCACGTGATCAAAATTCAGACGCTTATTTACTGACTCATATTTATGACGGTTGCAGCATCCCGGTGTGTGTGTGTGTGTCTGTCACACGATCCCCTTTTGCGACCTGACATAGTCCATGGGGAAGGGGGATTCACTTAACAACGGGTGTTACTAACTTAATTCAACCGCGGTGAACCACTTCCCTTAACCACTGAGGCAAGGCAGGCCATAAAATGGGACAAGATTCGCGTCTCGCTTAGCGACAGAAATTATGAGCTCCCTTGTGGTCGTAAATCGAGGACTACCTGCATTGCTGCACACACTAGTTGCCTTTTTAAAAAAAAAAACATGCTGGAAAAAGCAATGTTCCCTGTGTCTTGACTGTATGTTGGAAATAATTTTGTAAAAATTTTATCCCTAACCGGCATCAAACTGTAGCTTGAGAAATGATGCTGGTTTGTGTGTGTGTGTGTGTGTTTTTTTAAAATATCCTTGGAAACTGTTAATGGTTGTTAGTTCAGAGTTTTTCTTAGTTTGAGTGTGGAATGTTGCCCCTGTTTTTGGAACGGTGAGGCTGCGGGAAAGGGGCATCAGCGGCTCTCTCTTCGTTTAAGGACGGTTCGAAGTTCCAGCGGCGCGAAGAAAGCAACTTAACGATGGTTTGTCACACTTAGCGACCGTTGCAATGTCCCCCTGGTCACGGGATCAAAATAATAACCCTCACCCAAACCCAGACTCTCTCATGCCAGCCAATCCTGTTTGGCTGGGCTACGATTGAATGCAATGGCCAAACTCCGAACATGGCTTGATTCACTAACCAGGATAAATGAGTTGGGAGGACATTCCCCCTCCTCCCCCAATACAGGTAGTCCTCGAATTATAACCAAAACGGAATCAGAATTTCTGTTGGTAAGCAAGGATTGTTAAGTGAGTCACGCCTGATTTTACAGGTAGGCCTGGACTTAACATTCATTTAGTGACCATTCAAAGTTACAACGGCACTCAAGAAAGCAACTGGCGACGTTTTTCACAAGACCGTTGCAATATCCCCGTGGTCACATGATCAAAATTCAAATGCTTGGCAATTGGCTCAGATTTATGACGCGTTCAGCGTCCTGGGTTCCCGTGATCCCCCTTTGGCGACTTTCTGACAAGCCAAGTCAACGACGCCAGATTCGCTTCACATCCACGTGACTTCAACCACGTTAGTGATTCACTTAGCAACTGTGGCAAGAATGGTTGCAAAAGGAGGCAAAATCCACTCAACAACGCCATAATTTTGGGTTCAATTGTCGTAAATCGAAACCTACCTCTACTGACCGAATGTCTTTTTGTTTTAATCCTATTTATTTTACATACTTTTTAACATCTGCTGTGTTTCTGTGACCCATTTTATGCTAATTTGACATGCTCAGTTTGATTGTGGCATGTCTACCTGCCATTGGTGGACTTCAATTCCAGAATTCCTCAGCCAGCCACTGGTGGACTTTCCTCAGAATAATTTTACCAGCCACGGTGGCCTTCAACTCCCAGAATTCCTCAGCCATCCATTGGTGGCCTTCAACTCCCAGAATTCCTCAGCCAGCCATTGGTGGCCTTCAACTCCCAGAATTCCTCAGCCAGCCATTGGTGGGCCTTCCTCAGAATTTCTCAGTCAGCCACCCGTGGACTTCAACTCCCAGAATTCTTCAGCCAGCCATTGGTGGGCCTTCCTCAGAATTCCTCAGCCAGTCACTGGTGGACTTCAACTCCTAGAATTCCTCAGCCATCCATTGGTGGCCTTCAACTCCCAGAATTCCTCAGCCAGCCATTGGTGGGCCTTCCTCAGAATTTCTCAGTCAGCCACTGGTGGACTTCAACTCCCAGAATTCCTGTGCCATCCATTGGTACAGCAAGCAGCCATGCTTGCTGAAGAATTCTGGGAGTTGAAGTCCGCCCAATGTAAAGAGGGCAAGGTTGAAAACCCCGGTCGTATTCTCGCACGACGGCTACGAAGCGAAAGATACCGTCACCAACGCACTCCAAAGGATACGTTCAAAATCGGCTTCTTTTATTTTTGTGCTCTGTCTCGAGATCAGGGGCGGCTCGACTTTGGGGTGGGGGCGGCTGTGTCTTTACGCAGCGGGGTGGGGTGGGGGGCTGCATGGCAAAGGCTTGAGAGGTAGCTACGATGAAACGGACCCCGTCCCCGAATCCGTATTTCGAAATCACCAGCCACTCGTCTCCGTAGGAGTCAACGGCATCGCGGCTCGTCTGCACCCAAACTCTTCGTTGGTGACAAAGAGTCGGCCATCGTCTTCTGCAGCTCCTACTCTGAGCTGGGTGGGCTTTTGAATGCAGGAAAGACCCCCGAGAAGCTTGTGAGCTGGAAGAGTCAATGGCTGCCTTGGAGATAAATCTTATAAAGGCGTTAAAAGGTTTTGTCCTGAGCGCCTCCCCGACGAGACGGTCATGGCTCGGATAGAAGGACTTGCGGGAAGCGACTGCCTGGCCGAGAGGCAGGAATACGGAAGCCCAACGGACCGTCGGCTCAGCAGCCGGCAGGAGAAGGAGCAAAATAATACACGGCCATGAGGATAAAATAGACCATCACCAGCACGGTACCTTGGCGGGAGAGAGGAAACAAGATGGACGGTTACAGGAGAGCAGTCGTCCCTCCGTAGCCAGGGACATGGACTGGCTGACTTTGGAGCAGCCATCCAGCACGTAGACTTATATACCGCTTCACAGGGCTTTCGAACCCTGTCTTAAGAGGTTTACAGAGTCAGCCTCTTGCTCCCCAACAATCTGGGTCCTCGTTTTACAGACCTCAGAAAGATGGAAGGAAGAGTCGACCTTGAGCAGGTCAGGATTGAACTCCAGGCTGTGGGCAGAGTTAGCCTGCAATACTGCATTCTAACCACTGGGTCACCATGGCCCTTCCTTCCTTCCTTCCTTCCTTCCATCTCATCTCCTTCCTTCCTTCTCATCTCCTTCCTTCCTTCCTTCTCATCTCTTTCCTTCCTTCTCATTTCCTTCCTTCCTTCTCATCTCCTCCCTTCCTTCCTTCTCATTTCCTTCCTTCTCATCTCTTTCCTTCCTTCCTTCTCATTTCTTTCCTTCCTTCTCATCTCTTTCTTTCTTCTCATCTCTTTCCTTTTTTCTCATCTTTCCTTCCTTCCTTCTCATTCCTTCCTTCCATCTCATCTCCTTCTTTCCTTCCTTCTTATCTCCTTCTTTCTTCTCATTTCCTTCCTTCCTTCTTATCTTTCCTTCCTTCTCATTTCCTTCCTTTCTTCCTTCTCATCTTTCCTCCCTTCTCATTTCCTTCCTTCCTTCTCATCCTTCCTTCCTTCCTTCTCCTCTTTCCTTTCTTCTCATTTCTTTCCTTCCTTCCTTCCTTCCTTCCTTCCTTCCTTCCTTCCTTCCTTCCTCCCTTCCTTCCTTAGCACTTAGCAATAGCACTTAGACTTATATACTGCTTCACAGTGCTTCACAGCCCTCTCTAAGCGGTTTACAGAGTCAGCCTGTTGCCCCAAACAATCTGGGTCCTCGTTTTACCGACCTCGGAAGAACCTAGAATCCTCCTCTTTCTCCTCCCTGCAAACCCCCTTCCTTCTAGCTCTGATGATGTTACCTAGTTGGGTCATAAAACGTCTGCAAGAAAACCACTGAGCTCAGAGAGTACCGAGGACTCCACAGCCCCACCCTGAGTTACCAATATTCTCTCCTCTTGCAATCAACGTCTGTCAAAGTTCTCACCTTGGAAGTAATCACACTTGCCATCCATGAAGATGTAATTCATGAGGACCACGCTGAACATGCTGGCGTAGACATGGAGGTCGCTGAAGACCAGGATGAAGTCGGTGGGCTGCCCCAAAAGAAAAGAACGAATCAACCTCCAAACAGCCACAAGGACGAACAGCTGAAATCCCAACGGCCTCCTTTTTTACAATATTTTTTATTAAAGTTGCCAAAGGAATATATATATATAAGAATGAAGAGAGAGAGAAAGAGATAGGGAGAGAGAGAGAGACAGAGAGAGAGAGAGAGATAGAGATAGAGAGAGATAGAGGTAGATGGAGATAGATAGATAGATAGATAGATAGATAGATAGATAGATAGATAGATAGATAGATAGATAGATAATATGGATAGTCTTCCACTTACGACTATTCATTCAATGACCATTCAAAATTATGATGCTGCTGAATGAGGGGACATACGACACACATACTCCGCCTAAACATATTCTCTGGGAGCTATTGAGGAGGAACTGTCTTCACCCTCTTTCTCACACACAAACTTATCTGACCTTCATTGTCTCTTGCTCCCCTGGAATGCAGCCCCTCCCTCCTGGGAATCCAGAACTAGATATTCTCTATTCCAGGGTGACACGAGGGGAGACCCAGACTGAGAATCAGAAGGATGGGTCCCATTTCCAGGAACTGAAAAGACCCCTCTCTGGAAGACGGTGGATCTCTCCGCAGATTCTCCCTC